ATAGATGAGACCGAGTTCACATCACACTCAATCGCTAATATCACACTCAATCAGTATATTAGTTAGATGCATTCTCGTGCATTTTTAAAAACACGTTCTATTGCTTGTGAATTCCTTTTTCCTTTCATGGAAGATTTGGCACCATTCACTTTAGGTCTTTCTTTGAGGCTTGGGAAAAAAAACTTTTTGTCGATCTCTTCCAAAGGATGAGAAGATACCATCTGTATTTCACGAGCTTTTCTTAACTGTACTACTCGACGTAAGGATAAAAGCAGAATCGATACGTGGGGTTAGTCGTGCAAGATAGACGAATAAGCATTGATTAGGCCTAACTTCTCTTAATTTGTCGTTGATGAGTGCGATTTTAGTTTCTTCCATCCCTAACGGCGTGCGAAACGGCCAACCGTAACGAAAGTTACCACTCATCCAAGCAGGCCGTTCCAAAATATATAAACGATTTTTCTTATTTTTTGTCTCTATTTTGCGGGATTATTACGGGAAATCAAACGAAATCGAAATATTACATTTTTAATACCATTTCGAAGTGCTCATGACCTAATTTCTCCCATCCCCAACGACGTGCTAAATGGCCAATCGTAGCGAAAGTTACTATTTGTCGAAGCAGTTAGTTCCAAAATATATAAACGATTTTTCTTATTTTTTGTCTCCATTTTGCGGGATTATTATGGTAAGTCAAACGAAGTCAAAATATTAAATTTTTAATACTATTTCAAAATGCTCATGACCTAATTTCTCCTATCCCTAACGGCGTGCGAAACGGCCAACCGTAGCGAAAATTACCACTCGTCGAAGTAGGCCGTTCCAAAATTATATTAAATTATATTTCATAGGAATCATTTCTGCAACTTACCAGATGTTTAACGGTTTACGGATGGAAGGACCAATTCTGCAAGAAACGTTTGAAATAAGGGTACAAATGCCAATTTTAAAACGATATGGACCATTTTAGCAAAGAATGTAAACGTTGGGGACCATTTCTGCTAATTACCCTTACAAAGTGGATGAGGGCGTCAAAATTAATATAAAATTTTGTAATAATTGAAATAAAAATTCCGAAAAAGGAAAAAAGAAAATTAAAATGAAAAATATACCGAGCGGGTAAAAGTAAGAAAAATCAGAACACGACAGAGCGCATATAACGCTCTGCTTCAGATATTCGCGTTCTGAAAATCGTCAAAACAATTCCCTCCATTTTTCATTTTACATCTTCACTCGCCCTTTCTAAAAGCACGAAGACACGAAGTACGATTCAATTCGTACCAACGATTTCAACTGGTGAGCCTCTAATGTTTGAAGCCCCAAATCGATAATTTGTTTGAATTCTCGCCCCAGTTGTTTTACCCAACCAGTTCATGTAGAACCCTAGACTTCAATTTTGTTTTATACTTCACTATATTTTTTGAACTGAACTTACTTAAATTTCAATCATTTTCTAATTTTTTTCGAGTTACAGTAGTTTTTAGTTGTTCTGAACATGGGTTTTTTTTTTTTATATTTCCTGCTCGTTAGAGTTTTCCTGTATTCTGCTTAAATTCGAGTAATTTTTTTTTTAATTTATAAGGTTTTTAAAACTACTCTTGTTTCGGCCTTGACTAATTGGTTTTTTGTTTTTTTCCCCCACTGCAGGAGTGTTATAAACTTCCTCGATCCTCATAATGTACATAAAGCAGGTAATTAAGTAGCTGTCTCGTATTTTCTTTTTTTAATGATTTGTTTCTTATTTTTAGTTTCCAATTATATGTTTTTTTTTTTGTGTGGAATTTTTATTGTAGGTTATAATAGAAGGATTCAAGAGTTACAGGGAGCAAATTGTAACTCAACCTTTTAGTTCCAAAGTCAACTGTGTTGGTAAATGATATTATTCCTCTTTCAAATTTCTTTATGTTTTTATGTTAATTTCTTCATAGAATATTTTGAATTAAGAGCATTAATCTTCAGGAAATCGTTTATATTCAATTTATTCAGTTAATAAATTTTATCTGTTCCTCTGCAGTTGGTGCTAATGGGTCTGGCAAGTCTAATTTTTTCCATGGTAGGCTTATTTAGAACTTTACATCATATCTGGGTTAATGGCCATACCTTGGCTTTCGCTTACTAGTTCTTTTTTCTGAATTAAATAAAATGTTTAACAATTACAGCAATACGTTTTGTGATAAGCGACCTATTCCATAATCTACGCAGCGAAGAAAGACAAGCGTTGCTTCATGTATGTTTTGTGGTGCAATGGTTTTCTACCAGTTCTTTTGCCAATTCAGCTAAATTAGTTATGATGATTTAACTGAACATTACTTTTCACCTTTGGCAGGAAGGTGCAGGCCACCAAGTGTTATCTGCTTTTGTGGAGATTGTATTCGATAACTCTGACAACCGCATTCCTGTAAACTTTGCTTATAAGTTTATGTCCCTCCTGCATATTTGTTACTAAATTGCTCTGCTCTCATTATTTTGTCTTCTCATGCATTTATTATTATAATAGTCATCCAAATGCTCGAAACTCTGCTGTGATAAAATTCTCTCACACAGTTAAGCTTGAATTATTAATTTATATAGCTGATCCCAAATTTATTGGGATTAAGATCTAGTTGATTATCTCATTTTTCCGTCGATCAATTCTTACTTCTTTATACCATAATAGGAACCAGCTCCAGCTCTACGCTTAAGCTAATTAGCAATATCTGTGGCCCACTGAGGATTAAATACCATGATTCTCCGACACGGAGTCATGTAGGAAACGCCAAAACATGATTTTTAATAAAGTAATGACATGACACGTTGGTTACACAGTGATTAAGTTTTTTAAAATTCTTCATTTATATAGTTTTATATTTGTTATTAATTTTTCTTGATGAAATTTTTTTAAATAAGAGTACCTATTTGTTATTTGATAATAACCTTGAGTTAAAAATATATAATATTTCTATAACGAAAGAAAAATGACCATGGTAGAGTATCCAAGCAACATCCGACACGTGTCTGACACTGACACGCCATTCTAGTTGAAGTGTGTGTGCAACACAAATTCAATATGATGTTTATAGTTTTCATGTTTCTATTTTGATGCATATTAGAATGATTTATTGTACCTCGTAGACTAGTTAAAGAATGAGGTATCATTGGAGTTGCTCTTGATAGAGCTAATGAATTTCTCTTTTCTAAGTTTTAGTTAGCTGGTGTCTATTTATATGTGAATCGTGCCATGGATCAACAGTAAATGATAATATCAGGTGTTCCATGGATCAACAGTAAATGCTAATATCAGGTGTTCTGTATGTGATAGAATTTGCTTAGTTATTGACTTAATATAAATCGTGTAATAAAATTCGGTTTTGTACGCAAACACACGTAGTTTATCATAGAATTTCAGTTATATTTTCATCATCTCAAACTATCCTGCACGTGTGATGCATAGCGTGTTTACATATCCTTGAATCTTTTGTACTTTTCTCTTGGGCTCTTTGAAATTCTATCATTTTTGTTTACAGGTTGATAAGGATGAAGTGCGTCTCAGGAGAACTATTGGTGTGAAGAAAGATGAATATTTTTTGGATGGAAAACATATTACGTGTGTATCTATCATTTTCTTTAGATGAAGAATTTGTTATTAACTTTTTCTTTTCTTTCCTTGCTGCTGGTCCCCTTTTGATGATTGCTAGACATGTGATAGTTGCATATTTTTCAGGAAGACAGAAGTTATGAACCTGCTGGAAAGTGCTGGATTTTCTCGCTCTAATCCTTATTATGTTGTGCAGCAGGGGAAAGTACGGTGATTTTGCTTTATGAGTTAATCTTTGCTTAGCTAAACTTGTGCTCATCCTTCTGATTTGTTTCACAGATAGCATCATTAACACTGATGAAGGATTCTGAGCGACTTGATCTGCTGAAGGAAATTGGTGGGACACGAGTTTATGAGGAGAGACGACGTGAAAGTTTGAAAATCATGCAAGAAAGCGGCAAGTGCTACTTGATTTGTTGTTACTTCTTACATGTAATTATATTTACTCTTAACAGTTATCTGCTAATCAGGTAACAAGAAAAAGCAAATTAGTCAAGTTGTTGAATACTTAGATGAGAGACTTCGAGAGCTGGATGAAGAGAAAGAGGAATTGAGAAAATATCAGCAGCTTGATAAGAAGCGAAAATCTCTTGAATACACCATCTACGACAAGGAACTTCATGATGCAAAGCAGAAATTGACCGAGGTTCGTCAAACCACTGTAAAGTAGATATATACAGAAATCACGTGTCATTTCACCAAAAAGCTATCCCTTGAATTTTAAATAATTGATTGAGATGCTTTTTGTGTTGTGTTTTACTGTTTTCCTGGTGGGCTTCAAAGAACTAGGTCACTTGGGAAAGAGACTCTGCAAGCAATGGTCCTTATTTTTGCTGCAAGATCAGTGCTTACACAGAAGTCTGCTATTTGCTTTCTATCCATTTGCAATATTCTTTGCTTGCTTAACGTCGCTGACTTGAATGTTACCATGTGAAGCTGTATATGATTATCATGATTGGACCAACTTTGATTTGTTTTGGCCCAACATATAACACGAATGCATGTTCGAGGTCCATAGCAACAAAAATATTTCGAAACAACATAAAACATTGACACAATAATAAGTTTAGCATTAATTCAGGGTCCATTCTATGAAAATATTTAAAATCTGATCAATAACTAGCACGTAATAATTCAAGAGTTTGCACGGAACTTTTTCGGTTTGTGTGATATGGTGTAAATCTTTAGAAACGCACATAAGCACACGAAAAACTTTTTCTGATTTGTGAAATAAAATAACTATTTGCCATTCATACTGAGTATTCTGTAATAAACAAAAATATTGTTACTTGAAGATAATTATTATTGCAGTTATTATTAAATCTCTTTTTTGAGACACTGAATAGAAAATAGACTTGTGACCAAAGATCTGGCTTTGTTCACCATATGGCTTTCAGGAAAGTACTTTGTTGTGCTTTTTGGTGCATGCTTTTGTTGTTATAAGTACATATTCAGTAGATGCGTAGAAGTTGCAAATTAGATTGTGGCTCTCAATGGCCGTGTAATGCCTATATCATATCATTGCAATAAAATTTCAATTTATTGCAGATAGAAGAGGCTCGTGCCAAGGTGTCTGAAACGTCTATGAAGATGCACAATAGTGTGATGGATGCCCATGAAAAGTCGAAGGAGTTGGATAAGTCGCTTAAAGATCTGGGTAAAGAAGTTCAAATTTTAAGCAAAGAGAAAGAAGCAATAGAGAAACAAAGGACAGAAGCTATTAAGAAGCGTGCAAAGCTCGAGCTTGATGACAAAGACCTGAAAGAGAAGATCACTGGCAACACCAAAGCGAAGGTGACCACATTCGACCTCTTAATTATCATTTACTACTCCTGGGTGCATGTGCTCGAAAAAGAAATATAGTAGCAAGGTGTAATGTTTTGTCGATTATGTACTTTTACATTCCAGGAGGATGCAGTGAGACAGCTTGAGCTTTTGGAGAAAGAAATTCAGGAATCTACTGGCGAGCTCAATAGAATCATGCATTTGCATGGTGAACAGGTCAAAAAGGAGGAAGATTTGACGCGAGAGTATGTCGTGCTTATTTGTATTTATGCACAAGAATTTTGTGAACAAGTGATTGTCACTATTTGATATTTATGGTAGCAGAATGTAGTTTGCACTTCCAATTCTATAACATGACACTTGAGTGCCTTCTTTATTGCAACTGAATTTGCTGATTTTGCCATCCCTCTGGGGCACTCCTAAAACCCTATTATGAATTTATGGTAATCCCACAAAACATATTTGAATTCTTCTACTAATTTTGCAAGTTTTTGTGCCCGAGTAATTACTTGCATGTTATTATCCTGTTATGTTGTAGGAACGTACTTCATGCTCCTTAACTTGTATCTTTTATGGCGTGACAGTGCATACTATGATTGTTGTTTATCTACTTGATGCATGTCTATTCACATGTATACTCTTAATTGCTTAACTTTTATCCATACACAATAACCAATTTGGCCTTATTCTCAATAACTTTTGGGTTATATCATAAATGTTTAATAGAGGTTACTCCTTTATAAAAAAGCTAAATAAAAATCCACATTGAAGATGTTATAATATCTCTCTATAAACTCCATCTGCTGCACAATAAAGGAAGGGTTTCTACATGTTTATGCATCCTGTAAGTGCTTTCTTTATGTTTTATGAGAAAAAAATGTTACATGTGCTACTTTTCAAGCATGTGATACCTATTGATATTTTAATTTCTGAAGATATTATTTTAATTGATCTGATGCAGAGAAATTGCTTTACCATATCTCGTGATATTTCTTGGGACTGTAATATGTATTGCGTGAATATAGTAAATATTCTGATGAAAGTTCGTGCTGTGGTACATAGGATTATGAAACGCGAAAAGCAACTTAGCATGCTGTATCAGAAACAAGGTCGTGCCACCCAGTTTGCTAGTAAAGCTGCTCGTGACCAGTGGCTTCAAAAGGAAATTAAGGACTATGAGCAAGTTTTATCTTCAAACCGAACACAAGTAACTATTACTAACGGTTGTATATCGTGTATTTGAAACGTTATATTTGGCATATGTACCTTGTTAGGTTTAAGTAGTCTGTCTTCCCGATGGCTAAAATGGATGAATGGGATTTCTGAAATAATCCTTTATGTGGCGCACCATTCTTCTTTAATGTCTCTTTCACTGTAAAGCTGAGCAATCCAATTTCATTTGCTTCCAGTTATTTTTTTATTCCATAACGAGTCAGTTTCATTTTGAATAAGTAAACCTTTTACATTCTCTATTCTCATTGAAAGCAGTACAGAAACACAAATCAATTCTTTAGTTTATCTGATAGTTTTGGAACTTCGAAAATGATTTATTTAGATGAGCTTTGTTATTTTGCCCATTCAGAAACTTCTCTTTTTCATATTACGTAATAATACCCAATGTTGGGACAGAAGGTGTTTGGGATATTCTTATAAGCACTTCAAGTTATTCATCTAGAATTAGTCCCTATAAGCATTTTAAGTGTTTGTCGTTGCTTATCAACACAGAACAAAGGCACTTTAACAGTGCTTATAAGTTTTTGTAAGATTTTCAATTTTCCGAACAAATTCTTAAATCTTATGATTTCCCAACATGGTTGGAGGTTTTCCATGAAGTAACCTATTTGACTTCAACAAGTTGTCACAGTAATTGTAGTTTAGCTTGTATATCACACTAATCTTTTGGGGATGGTTTTGTCTATCACTCTGCTTCTGCATTGAATTTCTTCCATAATGAGCATACCTTGAATAATAAAATTAAGAAAACCGTGAATATGCATGCTGAAAATACCTTGAGCATTCTTTTTTCTTTCTTTTTTCGCCTTAGTTTTCCTCTAAATTGAAATGGTTGCCAATATAGTTCACCGAGTGTATTGACCAAGAATGTTTCTTTGGGCACCATACTTCAGTCACCTTCACTGAAATGTTACTATACTTGTGCGAGCACTTCAGAAGATGTTCCACTTTTACTGTCTCGTGTTTTCTGATCCATGTTTGCTTCCCTCTAGTGGTGTAATTTGGTGTTCCTGAGATTTAGTCTATAACGATGCATGAATATTTGCATGAAATTATTTTTCTTTTCGTGGTTGTTTCAGGAGCAAAAACTTAAGGATGAGATTGAGCAGCTAGAGAAAGATATCAGAGAGCAGGATGCCTATATCACAGGCCGGAAAAATGAAGCAGCGTCATTGGAATCCCACATTTCTGGATATAGAGAAAAATACAATCAGTATAGAGTGAAGAGAGATGAGCTACACGATGAGCGGAAGTATGATTATCAATTTATTCATGTTAACCTGTTCAAAAAGACTCTTCAGCTTGCAATCTGATTTGTATGTTACTTTTCAGGTCATTGTGGGGAAGAGAAAGTGAGCTCTCTGCTGAAATTGAACAGCTCAAAACAGAAGTTGCAAAAGCAGAGAAAAGTCTTGATCATGCAACTCCTGGGGTGAGTGCATATTTGCTTCATGCTTGATTATTTTATCTCACTTTCTTTTCTTCTCTCTCCTGGTTTTGTGTAAGAAAGCAAAGAGATTATAGAAAATGAGGTTAACCCCCACAATGCTCATCTGTGCATACTGCTTGGATTTTTTATTTTTTAATGTGGTAGTGTATAATTATGTTTAATGCATGTTTTTGGGCACTCCTGCTCTAAGTAGGTATTTGATTTAAATACTTTCATGCTTCACGCTTGCCACTGCTCCTGCGTTATGTGACTAGTTGTTGACTTCTAATTAATTTTTGCCATCTCTAGCTGACTAGACTAAGGGGATGATGGCCCCATGACTGATGATATTATGTTTTTGGTTTAAAATACTGGATCTTTTGTTCCTTTCTTTTCCGAATTCTTCTTAAATCTACATTCCTTCTTTTGACCTTACCTTCTTGTGAACTCTCAGGATATAAGAAGAGGACTAAATTCGGTTAGGAAGATATGTAGAGAGTACGAAATTTCTGGAGTATTTGGTCCAATTTTTGAGTTGCTAGATTGTGATGAAAGATTTTTCACAGCTGTTGAAGTTACTGCTGGAAACAGGTAGAAAAAACTCTTTTCTCCATTACTGGCAACACGATTTTCTTGTACCTTTTTTCGTCTTTTTTTGACAAGCCTAAATTTCATTGTTAAAGGAGATAAAGGCTGGGTACAATTTTTTTGTTATATGACCAGCTGACCTGGCTTGCATATTTCTTCTTGCCTTTATTTATTCATATTCTCTTGATACAGTTTATTTCATGTGGTGGTTGAAAATGATGAAATATCGACCCAGATAATTAGACACCTTAATGCACAGAAAGGTGGACGAGTTACGTTCATACCATTAAACAGGGTGAAAGCTCCACATGTTACTTATCCACAGAGCTCTGATGTGATACCGCTTTTAAAAAAGCTGAGATTTTCCCGGGAATATAACTCAGCATTTGCTCAGGTTAGTCAGGAAGTACCGCATTATTTCCTGTCTATTAGTTTGTAGCTATTATCAGTGCCTAATCCAAATCCCAATCAGAGTTATTGATGGTTCACAAGTTGGTAGTTGACTAAAGTATTTTTTTGGTGATTCATCTGCGTATGTTTATGATAAAAACACTAGATATTCTAGCATCAAAAGTTACTAAACCTAAATCTCATACATGCTTCAGCAGTTTCTTTGATTTTCTCTTAGAAGGTCGATTTAACTTGCAAGAATGAAGCCCTGATTTCTGTCTTCACTGGACCTGTGGACTGGCAGTGTTTTCCTGTATGAGTCAACTGTTACTTTACTCTCTTCCGTGTTGTAAAAAGTATTCAGAATGAATGAGATCACACTGTCAACAGCAGTTCTTTATTTTCACTTTGGTAGAAGATAGAGAACTCCCCCGTAAATTTTGTATGTGATTTTTGTATCCTTGCTGAGATATCATATCACGAAGCAAAATTTCATGTATTATTTTATTTATTTAAGAACTTCTCCATCCTTGTTGCCTCTTATGGGGAGATAAATGCCCTGTGACTTGAGGAGATTTTCTAAAATCACCTGTGCGCGCGTTCATCATTCCGTCGAGATGACTTGGCATGAATTATTATAACTACGATAGCCCGCAGATCTGCTTAACCTTCTCTGAAGATGGCTGATAATGTATTTTTTTTTGTCAACTATTGTTTATTTTTACTTTGTATATTTCGTACTTTAGTTTTTAGCTGTCATATGGTGTACATGGTTATGTTTATTTTGTCTATCACTTTATTCTTAATTTGACAAATTGACAGGTGTTTTCGAAAACTGTAATTTGTCGAGATTTGGATGTTGCTACAAGGGTGGCCCGCACGAATGGTCTGGATTGCATCACTTTGGAAGGTTGCTGTTGAACTTCACACAGTCTGTTGTTTGTTTATTCTTTTTGGCATCTCTGATGTCATCACAAATCACCCCTTTGCTGCAGGTGATCAAGTAAACAAAAGAGGTGGCATGACTGGAGGCTTCTATGATTATAGGCGTTCGAAACTGAAATTCATGAACACTATTAGACAGAATACAAATTCTATAAACGAGAAGCAAAAGGAATTGGAGATAGTTAGATCTAAAATTCAAGATATCCTTGCAATACTTCTTTACAGTTTCTTTTGCAATTTCACCTTGTTCACTAACTCTTTATCTTTCTATCCTTGAACCTTTTTACACTTTCACTTACCTTTTTACGCATTCATTTATTTACACTTTTTTTCATTTTCACCGTGTGCGCATGAAACAACACTGTCAGGGTAATGATTGATGGCCGTCGTTGATTAGTTCATTTACATGGGAGACACCCACATTTTAATGTTGGTTGTCTCCTTTGGTTTGACTCAGTAATTGTAAGGATAAATGGTGGTCTTGTAAAGACTTTTTCAGTTTTTAGAAGAAGATATTGACCGTTATGCTATGGAGGTGAGTTGATATATGAATAATGAATATTTGAGACGAGCTGACCACATTTTTGGTTTCCTGTGAACTTGTATTTCATAGTTCGTCCAGAAATTTAATTTTCAAAACACCACTGACAATTGTTTTCTGTTTTGTGAAGTAGATTATATCTGTTAATTAGCATCTGACTGATCCTTACATGACTGGTGTGTCTAGTGTTCTTGTTCCACTTTGGGTTCTTTGTTTTCGCTGAATATGTCCCACATATTGACCAGAAAATCAATGAACTAGTGTCTGAGCAGCAGAAAAATGATGCCAAGCTGGCTCATGAAAAATCTGAATTGGAACAGCTTAGGCAGGATGCTGCTAATGCTGAGAAGCAGAAACAATCCATTTCCAAGTCACTTGAGAAAAAAGTGTGAACCAAAAATATTACTTTCATCATTGTCAGTGTAATTCAATTCTTCTGACTCTTGGATGTTGGCTACATTTTTGTAGGAGAAGTTGCTCACCAATATATTGACTCAAATTGATCAGAATAGAGCTAATATTGAGATGAAACGAGATGAAATGGGAACTGAACTTGTTGATCACTTGACACCAGTAGAGAAAGAGCTCCTCTCTAGGTTGAACCCTGAAATAACATATTTGAAGGAGGAGCTAATATCCTGCAGGAGTAACCGCATGGAGGTTAGCAAGTTTTTTAAACGGTTTTATAAATAGACAATATTTGGTGGCTTCTGCTTTAACCTTTTACACTGACTGGCAATTGGTAGACTGAAACAAGAAAATCAGAGCTCGAGATGAATCTATCTACAAATCTTGTTAGGCGAAAGGAAGAGTTGGAGGCTATAAAATTATCTGCAGAGACTGACACGTTACGTAGCGAAGCTGATTTGAAAAGACAGGAATTGATGGATGCAGAGTCATTAGTGCAGAGTTTGACTCAACAACTTAAGAGTGAGACTGTAGATTCCTCTACGCTTACTTCCAATTTCATTGTTATATCATTGAGTGTTTCTTATCATATTATTATCTTGTACAGGAGTTTCTGATAGCATAAATGAGCGAAACAAGAAACTGAAGCAGATCAAAGATGACAAAGATAATTTCAAGGTATTATTCTATTTGGTCATAATTTCTGGTCCTCCGGTTTAGTGACTAAGCTGAAATAAGGATTTCTTCTTTTCTCCATCCCACCCCTACTCTCTCTACTCACTCCCTGTCCTCTTCCTATCTTTTTCTTTTTACTATGAGTTCTTGTGGGTACAGAATTTGGAAGACAGGTACAAAAATACCCTGAAAGATGAAGAAAAGGAACTGGAGCAACTATTGAGTAGGAATAATATGTTTCTGGCCAAACAAGAAGAATACTCAAAGAAAATCCGGGAATTGGGTCCTTTATCTTCTGATGCTTTTGAAATGTATTATTCTTATTTGAAATTCTAAACTATAGAAATTTATATTGGATATCAATTATCTATTTTGCATTGTTAGTCAGTGGGTCCTGTCTGAGTTTTATGTTTCCATTTGAGTTTGCACAAAAGCGCACACAGGATCCTATCGTGTTTTCCACGTGAATTTGCACACAAATCCACCATTGCCCACCAATTTATCATGGTTTAAGTTTGGCGAATTTGATGATTAAATACCTCAGTGAATCCTCAGATATATGTTAGAGCAGAAAAATTGTAACAGGTGGTTATAGAGAGGACAAGACGTTCCAAATAGCTATACTGTGTGGTTCACTATAATGTTAACAATGGCTTTCTCTGAATTCTGAATTATAGAGCTTCTTATGAGTCAGACACCAAAAAAATAGCCTCTTTGCATTGTTCAATTACCGTTTCTGTGTAGTATGATTTGTTCTTGTTTGTTTCAACATCAGTTCCAGATTTAATTTTGTGCTTCTACGCAATTTATTTTCATTCGTTTATTGATTTAGATTCCCTCTGATGCAAATTGTAGATATAAGAGAAAAAACATAAAAGAACTGCATAAACTGCTGCACAAGTGTAATGAACAACTTCAGCAATTCAGCCATGTAAATAAAAAGGCACTCGATCAATATGTAAATTTCACAGAACAACGAGAAGAGCTACAAAGAAGACAAGCTGAACTGGAGGCAGGTGATAAGGTACAATGATTCCTCATAATTCTGATGTTTTCATGGAGCTATAATTTATTGTCTATGCCCAAGAGGATACCTATACAATTAATTTCATTTCTTACCCTTATTTGGTAGAAAATCCAAGAGCTTATAGCAGTTTTGGATATGAGGAAGGATGAATCCATCGAGCGTACCTTTAAAGGTGTGGCTAAGCATTTTCGAGATGTGTTCTCAGAACTTGTGCAAGGAGGCCATGGATTTTTAGTAATGATGAAGAAAAAGGTTAGTTATATTGTTTGAGTACATTTATCAATTGTAGAGCATTATTTATTGCCTTGCAGTGCTTGGTTCTCTTTTTTGAACTTGGTTGCTGTATGGATTTTGAACTCTTCCATTTTTGGTACGTTTTGGAAAGGAACCTAATAATACCTGGATGAGTAACCTTAAATTCCAAAACAATTCAATAAGCTTACACGGTTCATCGCAAGTTGAAGTCTGGATTAGGACACTGGTTTTGGCTGACAGTTGTAATATTTTGTTCAAATTAGTTTATGGGTATAGGTGAAGCATTAACTAATGAGTTTGTAAATCAAATCCTAAAAGACAATCATATGGAACTTCTATAACTGAGATTAGTAACGGGTTTTTTGATATATCTCTGTTTAAAGTAAATATGTCTTTATGAGCAAAGCTACACCTGCTGGACATAATTGAAAGAAAAAGGAACTGGGTACTGATACAACTCTTTGAACAAGCAGGGAAAAGAAAAATTGTTCTCATGAAGTGTTGCTTTAATAATTGGTCAGAACATCTTGGATTACTATCTTAAACCTGAACGTGTATTGCAATAACCATTGGTTGCTTCAAGGTGTGTTTTATGGAGATGGATTCTCCTGGAGTATGATATACTGACCAAATAAAAGCTAAGGGTGCTTTTGGTGCCTTAAACTTGATAGTGACTAAATGCTACAGAGAAAAATCTTATCTCTTGATGAAACTTGCTGTTTCTGTGAGGATGTCAACAGAGGCATCATAAACTCTTATGTACATTATGTGATCATTCAATTTTTGGGCTAAAGTGATTGCATTTTAGCCAATAATTGTTTTTCCATCAAAGCAATTAAATGGTCTTTTTGCAATCGTAGTATCTGTTTAAGTGCTTATTACAAGCCATGCATGGTTGCATTTTTTTTCTTGACATCACTGATTTTGCAATAATTTTCTCTGTGCTGTTACCATGTTCTGTCATCAATACTTAAAATAAAGCTTTTAAAGCACATTATCATATAGAACTGACATGAATATTAAAAATTAAACTTGTTTCCCTATGTACGGATATGCTGAAAGTTAACCACAATGTCTCTTGCTTATTCCTTTCCATTTATCTAAACTAATTGTCTTAATAAGGATAGTCATGGTCAAGTGCTCTTTTTTTAATGAGGTTAATATGGAAAGGGTTATACGTTGGTTTCCTATTATTTATACAGGACATTGATGACGTTGAGAATGATCAAGATGATGATGAGCCTCGCACAGTGGACACGGAAGGAAGGGTTGAAAAATACATTGGTGTCAAAGTCAAGGCATGTTATTAACTTTTGCAAACTTGTGTTCTGTCCCTAAACAAGGCTATAGCTAAACTTGTTCTTTCAGTGCATTTGATATCTTTTAATAGATTAGCATGTCTAGCTTTGTGTGCGTTTTTAAATAAATAGAATTAAATACTTGAGTAGATGAAAGCAACTAGGACTCATTATACTAAATTTCATGTTCTCAACATTATAGCATCCATTTGGAAAGCGTGGTTGCACAAGTAGTTTTTAGTTGTAAGTCTAGTAATTTCTTTGACTCACGCTTCTTGTGGTAGGTTTCTTTTACTGGGCAAGGAGAGACACAGTCGATGAAACAATTGTCCGGGGGTCAGAAAACTGTGGTGGCACTGGCACTAATCTTTGCCATTCAGCGATGTGACCCTGCCCCATTTTATCTTTTTGATGAGATAGATGCAGCACTTGATCCTCAGTACAGAACTGCTGTGGGAAGTATCCTAACTTTGGCCGGTTCTTTATGTTTTCAATTTTTTGGTGAAAGAAAGTATCATGATTTTTTTTTCCCTTTCTTTTTCCTACTAATGTTACCGATGAATGAAAATTCCGACACATTAAATATCCACTACTTGTGTGCTTTTCTCACTACATTTTGAATGAGTTGATGTTGTCTCTGTTTTAAATAAGTTGAATAAACGTGTTTTTACAGCTATTAAAGCTGATCTTATATACTATTCATAAATGAGGATGAAGATGCGATGCCCAACCATAGAATTTATAATCCCAAAAGAGTAAGGTAGGACATTTGGAGTTTCTTTTTAGGGCTAAACAATGAGAGGCACAACCTTTTAGTGACATGGGCGTTTCTATTTTACATTCACCTTTATTTTCTCATATCAATATAAATACTTTCTTAATCAAATATGTCAAATTGTATCTGCCTGGATCCACAAGAAAAACTTTCTTGACAGGGATGCCCTTGCTACAAGTCCCTTGATTCCTGAATTTGGTAACTCTTAGGCTACAAGAGAATTCAATAATGTTGAGTTATATGACATTTACTTTGTTGAATCTCCTTATCTAAAAGTTTAAGCTCTTAGACACGTGTTTTAGCTGGCCAAATAGCTGCGAGCTCATTTCTCAGCTTAAACATTGTTGTTTTATCTTTCTTGTGTGCTGCTATGGATCCTTGACATTACTTGCTATTAGATATGGTTCGTCGTCAGGCAGACACGGCTAGCACCCAGTTCATAACCACGACATTTCGCCCGGAGTTAGTTAAGGTGGCTGACAAGATATATAGCGTCTCACACAAAAATAGGGTTAGCCATGTTTATGTTTCCACCAAGGAAGAAGCTTTGCAATTTATTGAGGAGGATCAGTCCCACAACGTATGAATGAGGTTAGACTTCTGTTGATACATTTATATGGGAGAAAAACTCATTACCTTTTTAGCTCCTTACAGAGTTTCACTAAATTTTGAATTCAATATTTTGTGGATTGACAGTGACAATGGAAAGCAAGCCTTCTTGACTTCAGAACATGACCATTATGAGATCTTTATAGGATGTGCAAATCCCTTGTAAACATTATTGGTAGGTCTTCTAGAGGTTGACTTTAATCTTTAAATTTTTTTCTCGATGCCCATGTACAGTGTTGATGAATCCGACACTGACATCGTTCTCTTTACAAGTATCTCTTTCTTAGAACTACAAGGATGCTACTTCTCCAGAAGTTTCTCCTCTAGAAATCAGCTTGTGTGCATAATAAAATAGTAAGAGGTCACCGTACAATATTTACTGAATTTTATTTTAAATGAGTTCTTTATAAGCATCTTGGAAAGCATTCTCTAACTAATTTATAATATATAAAATATCACATCACGGGAGTATAATTTTTTGGACGATTTTAATTATACTACAATTCAATTATTTCAATAATATCCTACTTTTCGTTTTTCAACATATAATAAATACTACAAAATTATTGTCATGTATGAATTTTTTATTATTAATTTTCAATTAATTAACATTTACATTAATCTAAATTCAATGAATTTTGATTTGATAAATTTCAATTTACGTGAATATATTGTTATTATAGATGAATTTATTTCTATTTATGTATATATGAATTTTAATGGGTGTTTAAATTAATGTATTAACAATTAATTTTTATGTATCAAATGTAGTATAAAAATATTGTTCATTTGTAGTATTTCATTATTACAAAAAATTTGAATTATAGAAGTTGAGTTTCGAAAGTACAATTTTTTTCTTAAATTTCCATCATGAATTTTATTTTCTTTACTTCGTTTGAAATTCATCAAATCCTCCAAACAAATTGGTATCAAATATTTTTTACGGTACTTAAAAAGTATTTCAAAATAACTTGCAATGCACGTTCAACTCTGACTAGTTAATTTAAATGTTCATCATGTGGCCTAATTTATATGACGTCGATACTTGCACTTAGTCCATCATGTCAAAAGCCTAACATGTTGCTGTTAGGGAACTTTCGATATACCCCATTCTAATTGATTATACTGGGATTTAGATTTCGAGCAAAAAAAAAAATTACGAATTGTTAAACATATTGTTTAGAATAAATCTAAGTGTATAGAATTGTGGTTGACAAAGGACTTACGACTTCTCACATGGGGACCGACCTCATTAAAAAATGAACAAAACCCCCCCTCCCCTCTCTCTGTCTGATTGGTGGGGGTACCTCTGTACACATAGCAGAGCCCTATTGTTTATTTACTTTGAAAGAAGCTAAATTTTTTGAATCCGTTATGGAAACCAGATCTCGAGGTAGGAAATTTGGGATTTTGTCAAGAACTTCAGAATTTTATGGTTCTTCATTATGAACTTGTGGATTTTATTGTGCTGTCAATTGTATGAAAAACACAAGTAATTGATCATAATTAATATAGCAGAAGAACACAAAATGAAAGAAAAACTCCTACATTATATTAAGCTGCCAAAAAAAAAATAAAAAAAATACAATTTGTAAAAACAAATTCTAAAAGAAAAAGATGCAGAGCAAACTCTTATCAACTAATAGAAAAATATACATACTCTATCAACTAAAAGAAAATCAATCTAACTTGCTGTAATTGGTTATGTGGTGAGTCCATAACCAACGGGGAAGAGTGGATCATAGTGTGAATCATCAACATTCATGGGGAGCTGATCTACAGTCTTGAACCAAGTCCTCGATGACTTATCGTTGAATCCGTAGTCCCCGAAGCGGACATCAGCCACTCCATTGCCTTCTGTTCCTGGTAGCCAAGCAGCTACTAATGCATCGATGTGTTCAAGGTGTGGCTGAATAACCAAAGGTCGACCGGATACAAGAACAACCACACACTTGACGTTGCCACAAACATTCTTGATTGTGTCTAAACCTTGTTGAGGAATAGTAAGGTTTGAATTGTCACCTGCAGATTCAGCATAGGGAGGTTCTCCTACCACAACCACGGCGTAGGAAAAGTTATTAGATTTTACAAAATCCTCATCTGGGCTTTCACTGTAGGAGGTTTCTGTACTTGGATGAACTGCAGTCGAGATCTCGTTAAAGATTGTGGTTCCAGCAGTGTGGTTGTTTCCACCTTGTCCTTGCCAGGTTATCGTCTAACCACCACATTGAAATCCAAGCTTGTTAGCATGGCTTCCAGCAACTAAGATTTTGGATGCCTTATTGGGTAGAGGAAGTACAGGGCTATCAGCATTTTCTCCATTCTTCAATAGTACAAGCGATTTCCTCACAGCCTCCTTGCCAAATCTCTGTGAGCCTGTTTAAGGAACAAATTATATTTTAATTGTGAACTTTCGATTTGCACGACTTGACTATACAATGAATTAGATTTTAGCTTCGTTTTTTATTTTTTTACTGACCTGGCTTCCAAGTTGATCGATTAAACTATGATCAGCCATGGGATTCTCAAAGAGGCCCATTCTGAATTTTACTCTCAATATCCTCTGATAGCATCATCAATCCGGCTGGAATGAAGTTGTTGTTCACCAAGGAGGTTAAAGTATCAATGAATTCTGTATGGTTGAGAGGAACCATGACCTGAACATGTCACCGGGGAAAACTGTGTTAGCATTTGATGCACGGGTTTCGAGCTATCACAAGAATCTAACTTACCATGTCAATGCCAGCGTTAATCCCTAACAGAGTATGTGTAATTGACATGTTGTAGATAGGTGATTTTGTCTATTCCTTGCCAATCTGAGATGACAAATCCCTAGAAATTGTAGCAAATTCGATAAATTATCAGTGGGGGCATATATCAGTATGTTTTCCTCTAATAAATTGATTACTAATTTACTGAATTATTTGAAGCTATACCCTGAATCTCAAAGTGCCTTTGAGGAATTTGGTGACAAGTTGACGATTTGCATGCATTTTGACTTCATTTAGACTCGAATAGGATACCATGACTGTTGACACACCCTTGATGATTGAATTGTAGTATGGTGGCATATGAATGCTTAGCAATCCGTGCCAGTTAGTCACTTTGTTGTTCATATTGATTCCTTTTGTAGTCCCATCGTCTCCAACGTAGTGTTTTGCACAAGCTGCAACCTTGGTACTTTTTCACATACATACACAAAGAAAGAGAATCGCATTAGAGAAATTTCCAACAACTTGCCGATTATGCAATGTTAGTGTACTTGTTTGGTACGTAGTATTTGGAGTGCGCTATTTACTTAGGTAGTATACTTACTTTCCACCAACATAAGGACACCCTTTGGTGAATTGGGAGGGATGTTTCCTTGTAAACCTGGAATGATTTCCGTCATATCTTGAACAATTTTAGGGTCCTCACTGTAACTCTCGTAACACCTTCCCCATCGTGGATCTCTGCATACCTATTAATTGTATTGTAGAATTGAACTTATATTAGTATGTGAAAATTAAGTTTTCATAAAATTGTAAGTTGAATATTGTATACCGTAATGCATGGAGTAAAGACATAAGGTATGCCAGTAGCTCTGGCTTCAAGGGCAGTTGCAGCACCAATCCTCTTCACAAGGTCTTTTTCTCTGCATAATGAAAAAAAAACACACTGTAAATATGATATTGGACAACACAATTCAGTACAAGATTATAGTACTTGCCTAGTTGCTCCTAGGCCAACATTGTGGGGAAATATGGTAGCCTTGTAAACATTGTTGTGGCCATGAGCGGTATCAATCCCATAAATCATAGGAATCCCAAGTCTGCTAGACAAAGAACCATTCTAAAACCTATCCACCACATCCATCTACTCCTCGGCTGTGGCCTGTTCACGTGGCACACTCCGCCACCGCTTAGGAGGTTGCCGATGGAGTAATCTCTCATGATCTCTGGTGTGGCAGCACGGCGATCAATCTGTGCCATCTGCCCAATTTTCTCTTCGAGGGTCGTTTGGTCCATGAGAACCTTAATGCAAATATTCATACGCTGGTTTGGATCCTTGTATAGCATGTTCAACTTTGAGTCTTGTCCCCGTGTTGATGCACATAAGAGCAGAAGTCCCAATATTGGAACTAAATACCTTGAAAACATTGCTTCAAAACTTGATTACTTTACTTTCTGAAAACATAAGACAGAGTTAACGAACACTGAACTTGTTCAAAAAAGAGACATTAAGTGTATAGAAGACTTGAAAACATGCATGAATTTTAAGAAAAATACAGATAGATGAACAAAGGGAACTCACGTAGAGAAGACGGAAAGAAATAGTATCTAATCAGGTTCAGGAAAAATTAATTAGTATGTAAAAGGTTACAGTATTTGGGATTATATAGCCATTTAAGGTGTTATTGTTCTTATTGATCTCGAAAAATGACTCTGACACGTGGCTAACAGAAAATGTCTTCAAGTCAGCTCTTCCCTGCACACGTAACACACTGTTAGTCACCGTGGCCTTTCCCGAAGGGGTTGGGAGCGGTTGTAAGCACTCCGACGATCAAATCAGTTTAAAGGTCAACCGAAAAAGAGTTTACCAACGGTGGAACACTCGTTGGGAAGTGGTTGACAAAGTGTATATCGAAAAGTGCTAATATTTGGGGGAAGGGAATACTCAATTTTGCAATGTAGTGGTAGTTTGGAGTGTGTTGGATTTCAATCATTCTTCAGACACAAGGAGGGGGTATTTATATTAAGGATGGGAAGAGGAGAGCTATTGGATGAGGAGATACTTGTTGCCAAATCCTCAGGGCTCATCCCATCCTAGGTGTCAACCCGTCCCTCCATAGGTTGGCTGTCATTGAATGTTTCTGACAGAAGCAACTGATTTGACCTTGATCGACGCGTGACGTGGTGTGAGCCACCTCTGATAACACGTGGAGGGTGAGGTGGCGGGTCTGACTCAGGGCCGTAACAATGTTAATTAGCAAGTTACAAACTTACAATNATATTTATATAGTACAAGGACTTAGTTTCAATGGTTGAGTTAGGACGCACGGGGACGAGCGTCGGAGGCAGACAATCGAGGTGATATGGGTTGGTAACTCTGTGGAGATTTGTTGCAAAGCGAAGCAGTTACGACCAAAGCGATAGGAGTTGGTAATTCTAGAGGGAGTTGTCACAACATTGGATTCTGCTCTGGTCGAAGTGATATATGTTGACAACTCTGTGGAGAGCTGTTGTAAAGCGAAGCTGTTGTGGCCTAAGCGATAGAAGTTGGCAACTCTAGAGGGAGTTGTCACAACATTGGATTCTGCTCTGGCCGAAGTGATATAGGTTGGCAACACTGTAGAGAGCTATTGCAATGCGAAGCTGTTGCAGCCGAAGTAATCGGAGTTCGCAACTCTGTGGAGAGCTGTTGCAATGCGAAGCTATTGCGGTTGAAGCAATTTCTAGAGAGCCTTGGGTCTTGCACCAATGATTTGAAGGCTTTCGCGTCTTCCCACGATAATCATGAGAGGGCGTCTGCTTGCTTCCAAGGCACGCCTCCATTGCCATAAATGGTAATGATGGAGATGGCTTTCTGCTCCTAGGCAACGCGTTTGGGTAGTGCGTGGGACTCACAGCTTCATCAAGGCCGTTGGTTCAAATGACCCTTGGTTTCAACGGAGATCCTCGCATTTTAACATTGTGTGGTCCAGATGTGGTTTGGATGATCCAACGGCTGGGGGTGAGTCTAGAATGCCTATAAAAGGCCTATCCTCTTCATTTCAAAGCTTTTACTTTTGCGAAAACTTCTATATTGCTCTCGAGAGAATCCTTGCATTCCATTTTCTTGCATTCTCCGGCGTGCTCTGTTAGAGATTTCGATGACATCTCTGAAAGTTCCGACTGGCGAAGGGTACTCTTCATCAAGCTTAGGTAATATTCCCCATTTTCAGTTTCTTCATCTCTTTCTTTAGATTTTACCAAAACTTTGAAAATCCTTGGGATGGCGAGCGAACAATCTGTTAGCACCTCTGGAAGTGAGGAGGGGAGAGATGAGAGGAGTTCTGCTCTGATGGAGCCTATACTGGTGTCTTCAGATGTGCTGAGTAGGGCCATCAGGGCCGGGGAGAATATCTGGAAACATCCAGCCGTCCATGTGGACACTTCGGTTCAATGGGGGCTTCGAAATATCCTTCCAACATCACTAAGGAGATACTGGAGAGGTGCATGGTAGTTTTTAGGATCCTTGATAGCATTGAGTTGATCATACCCGAGCCTCATGAGAGGTCCTGTTACCCGAGGTCAGGGTGTGTGGTGGTGAGCAAGAACTTACTTAAGGCCGGGTTGAGGCTTCCCTTTCACCCATTCTTTAGGTTAGTACTTTGATCCTATGGGTTGGCCCCAACCCAGCTCAACCCGAACGTGTGGTCCCATATGGTGAAAACGTGGATGCTGTGGCGTCGGGCTAGCATCGGGGTGGATATGCCGTTCAGTATATTCCATTCCCTTTTCTTGCCTAAGAGCGTAGCGGGGTGGTGAGGAGAGTAAGGGTTGGTATTACTTGGCGCCTTGGGGGTCCCACGTCCCTTTCATAATCGGGCAGTCTACTTCTGTTAAGGGTTGGAGGAGCTCCTGGTTTTGGGTAGCTGGGAGGTGGGATACCATGGAGGGCAACCCCATGGCGCCTCTTACCGTTCCCACTTCATATTCAGCTTACAATAAGTTTTTTCCCGATCTAGTTTTGCTTGTGTATTTTGCTCATGGTCTTAATATATCTTGTTTGCAGGCTCTCTTCCGAGGTGTGAGATATCTGAGGAAGAGTGGGACATAATAAGTCAACTGTATCAGACGCCTCTGTTGGAGAGGAGTTCAAACAGATCATCAACAAGAATACCCACTTCGTCTCCCACGGACTAATGTCGAGCCAAGGTAAACACCCCGCTTCAGCTCTTCTGGTATATGTTCTTATGTGAAAATACTTAACCAATCGTGCTGTTTGCAGAGGACTTTACAAAGAAGAAGGTGTCGAGGCCTGGCATTGCAACCATTCGCCGAAGTGTGGCAGAGGCGAAAATGTTGAAGACAAGTTCGACTGTTAATAAGAAGTAATCGGAGCGGCTATTATTTCTCAGGCTAGGCAGCAGCCTTGCTAAAGAGATCGAGGCGGAGGAAGGACCATCCCTTGTTCTGAGGAAGAAAAGAGTCAGCCTAACCGAGCCTCTATTTTTGCTCGATCCGACCTAGTTCCTCTTCCTCCACCCAATGCCGAGGTGACCATTGCGATCCCTTCACCCACTCCTCAGGCCATTGTGCCGATAACTGCTTACTTTGCTGAGGGCCCCGCCAGAAAGGAATCGAAGATGCCTGCGGCCGCTCCGACCCGAGCCAAGACCACTAATTTTTTAGAGAGCAAAGAAGAAGATCTCCCCGAGGTAATTTTGGAAATGTTGCCGCCTGAAATCGCTTTTGCAGCCCGGATCCATGGAAAGTATTGGACCGAGGATTGGCAAAATTACGCCGTCTCGTGTGACGTAGAGGATCTGTTGGCTGCAAATAAGGCTTGCGTGGCCAGGGCCCTAAATATGGGCGCCGCGACGGAGGACCTGGTCAGAGGCCTCCGTAAGTGGAACGATGAGTTGGAGGAGAAGTTGAAAAGCCTCAGAGATTTGGGAAGCCGAAGTGGCAAAGGCGAAGAAAAAAGTGGAGGAGGTAGATGAGAAATGGATAGCGATTCCTCACAACTGGATGAGATTGAGTTCCGAGCCAATCGGCTAAAGAATGAGCTCCATGAGTCCATCTCCCAAGTGACGGTTCTGACCAAGAGGGTCGATGACGCCAATGAACATCAGTGGATGGCCTTGGAGGCCCTGGAGGAGGTGAATAAAGAGAGTGGCAAGCTGAAGAAGCTCACTGAGGCCCAAACTGAAAAGACAAACTCCTTGGAGGCTGAGGTGAAGACAGTTGGTGAAGTGGCGGTCCAGAATTACAAGGATAATTTAGACAAGATGCCGGAGTATGATGACTTCGCTAACTTCTGGGCCCCTGGGCCGCCCAGGAGATGATGTCTCACCTGCACCAGGGCACCCTGGTTTGGACATCGAGTTCCTTGAAGAAGAGTTCGATGGGCCAACGGAGGTCGCCCAATAGTTGAAGATGTGGAGGCTCAACAAGAGGAGGCCCAACAGGAGAAGGAGGTGGAAGCCGGGGCGATAGTAAATGTAGATTAGACTTCTTCTTTTGTTTTGTAATGGCTTCGGCCTCTTTCCGTGATGAATAAAATTTGTTTTTCCAAGTGTTGCTGCTTTACTTCTTAACTTCAATTGCACAAGTACCGTCGCATCTTCTATCATTACTTCAGATAGACAACTAAGTTTAATCACCTTAACCATTTAATAAAATGGAAGAAGCCAATGAACAAAGTAATATCGCATCGGCCTCGCTTAACCACTTAATAAAATGGAAGTAGCCAATAGCCAATGAACAAAGTAATATCGCATCGGCCTCGCTTAACCATTTAATAAATTGGAAGTAGTCAATGAATAAAGTAATATCGTATCGACCTCGCTTAACCACTCGATAAAATGGAAGTAGCCAATGAACAAAGTAATATCGCATCGGCCTCGCTTAACCACTTGATAAAATGGAAGCAGTTAATGAATCACTTACCTCGTAAACTACACGTGTTTGCTACTTCATCAAAGATGGCACCCGCACCACCTCTGACTGGGCAGATTGTTTTAATGGGGGTGACCCCTGAGGAGGAGCTCGCACCTCGCCCAGTGTTGCTTGATGTGTGCACTTGCTGTTTCGTCAAAGGTGGCACTCGTATCACCTTTGACTAGGTAAATTGTTTTATTAGGGGTGACCCCTGTGGAGGAGCTTGCACCTCACCAATGTTGTTTGATGTATGCACTTGCTGCTTTATCAAAGATGGCACCCGCACCACCTCTGACTAGGCAGATTGTTTTATTGGGGATGACCCCTGTGGAGGAGCTTGCACCTCGCCTAATGTTGTTTGATGATGCGTTGACGTGAGAGTGGAGTCAACGGAACATTGATTTATTTAATTTCAAAATTTGTAACATTACATGTTCCCTATGGTAATAATTCCTCAAATGTTCGATATTCCATGGGTGAGGCATCATCCTCCTGTCCAGATCCCCAATTTTATAGGTACCAGGCCTAATCTCTTCGGTGATGCGATATGATCCTTCCCAATTCGGCCCCAAAGTCCCGGTGTTAGAATCTTTGGTCGAAAGGAAATCCTTGCGGAGTACCAGGTCTCCAACGTGAAACACTCTCTTCTACACTTTAGCATTGTAGTAACGCATCATCTTACGTTGGTAGAAAGCGAGCCTGACTTGTGAATCATTTCTTTTTTCTTCAAGAGAATCCAGCTCAAGCTTCCTCAGTTCATCATTTGTTATTTCATTGAAGTGGATACGACGAGGAGAAGGAACGCCAACTTCTACAGGGCTCATCGCCTCAGCTCCGTAAGTCATGGAAAATGGAGTTTCGCCAGTGGCTGTCTTGCAGACGGTCAAGTCAACTGCTGGACGAGGGAGAAATAGTGCAAGAGAAGAGACGAGAAGGGGAATTTGGATATGGATTCCGTTCGACCATTTTTTGAGGTCAACAGTTCTTACACAATTAGGATATTTGAATGGCTTCAAATTCGATAAGGTGTTGGAGTTCTTACACAAATAGGATTTTTGCATGGCTTCAAAATTGATTAGGACTGTTTATCCAATTTGGATTATAGTTCTGTTTATAGTGTATTTACTCACACACATTTTTTTCTTTTTTAATTTTTCAGAAATTTATTCTTGGTAAGGTATGTCTTTGCGACATTCAAACGCCTATGAATGTATATAGAGTCTATTTGGCAACCATTATTGTAGAAAAAGAATTTTGAATAGTGATTTTTAGGAGAATGTGTGGTTAAAAAGTAGAGAAATTTTTTTAGTATACGTATAAAATATTTTATTGTGTAAACGTTTGGTTGAAAATGGTCATGTAGGAAACCATAAAATATATTAACGGATGTCAAACATGCACTTAAAAGTTATGTTTTTAGAATAATTTATCTTTTTAGAAAACTATATTTGAAAATAATTAATTTAAAGGTAAGTCAAATAAATTTTGCTCTTGTTTGATTTAGATAAAAGTTATATTTTTAATAGGTGTTTTTTAATAAAAGTTAATGGAACTTGTGTTTCACAATTTGAATGTACCATAAAATTTGTGACTAAAAATAATTGTGTACTTCAATTTAGATTTTCATCCGCTTTTGTAGCTTAACCAAATAGTGGCTTAAAAGCAAACAAAAATATGGTAACTCTTTCAAACTATGGATAGCAACGATGCAAGTTGGGGTCGGGGCAGCCATTCTTCTCCTTCGCCCTGTTGAGTATTTTTGTCTCCTTATCCCGCTTTGCCCTGCCTTGGAACAACAACCCCCGACTCATCCCCACCATGTGTACCCGATTAGGCGGGTAATTCCTGTCTTATTTGGGTATTGAGTTTAACGATTTTTTCCCCCATTTGAAAATAAAGAAACCGAAAAAATTCAGTCAACTAGAAAATTATGTTTGGAAAAATAAATAATCTAAAAGTAATTTAAAGTTAATTTACACAACCCGCTTTGAAACTAAAAGTAAAAACCAATAGAATTTTTATAGTCAACTAACTTGTTCCAACATTATCTTATAACCCACGTTTTAGATAAAATATTGATTTTCATTTTTTTTAAATAATAGAATACGAATACTATTCTTCGTTTAAAAAAATTCATAATTCTAGAGAAGCGACGTTGTATCAATTGCATTCTCAAGAGAAAACAAAATCGAAGTTGCAAACTTGCAATTCATATTAGGCAAGGAGATATTATGATGTCTTTTACTCGAAGATAGATCAATTTTATATCATGTTTCGTTTAAAGTTTGAATTACTAAAACTCTAAAAGGAACGTCTCCTTGCCTAATATGAATTGCAAGTTCGCAACTTCAAACGAAACATGATATAAAATTGATCTATCTTCGAGTAAAAGACATCATAATATCAGAGTAGGAACTATTTCATCGAGGTTTGCCATTTAAGAAACTTGGCATCATCGGATACATTTTCTCCTGTTCTAGTAAATTTATTAGTATTCGTTAATAGATTATGAAGGGTTGCGTTCAATTAGAATGTGATCACCGATATGTTTGCTTGATGCATGTTAAAGTGCATTATTTTGTGTATCATGTATGATATTCACCATGGATATTTCAGTAATTATTCCTGAATAATGGTAATAAATTTAGTCCATTTCAAAATTGGCTAAGTGAATATATAAATTTTCAGTATCAATTGAAAATTAATCTCGGACCAAGTGAAGAGTAACGATGTTAATGGCCTTGTTTTCCCTGAGATAGCTGCATTGCTCATATTTTTTAATTTCTGGCCTTCTTTGAATTTGAAAGTTACCACTTCGTATGTTTTCGTACCAAAGCTCAATCCAATTAAATTTGTAGTGTCTACAGATTGGAAACCTGAGGAGTAACGGAGTCTACAAATTTGTTCGAAATGATGATGTGATGATCGTTAAATGTGATTTGCAATTATTCCATCATGGCAAAACCCTAAAATGCTATTATTACGGAACTTTTGATGTATCCAATTCTAATTTCTAATAATGCCATTTAAATTTTGAGTAATTTATTTAAATTACAGATACACATTGTTCTTCTTTATCATCATCATCATCATCATCTCTGTCACAAGTGGTAAAGATAAATTTGCTGATTGAACAACATTAGATTAAGTTGCCAAATATCTCTAAAAGTTATGGAAAATTTGAAAAAAAAAATTCTAAAGAAAAAAGATGCTAAACAAACTCTATCAACTAAAAGAAAATCAATCTAACTTGATGTAACTGGTTCTGTGGTGAGTCCATAACCAAAGGGGAAGAGTGGATCATAGTGTAAATCACCAACATTCATGGGGAGCTGATCTACAGTCTTGAACCAAGTCCTTGACAACTTCCCGGTGAACCCATAGTCCCCGAAGAGGACATCAGCCACCCCGTTGCCTTCTGTTCCCGGTAGCCAAGCAGCTACTAATGCATCGATGTGTTTAAGGTGTGGCTGAATCACCAAAGGTCGACCGGATACAAGAACAACCACACACTTGACGTTGCCACAAACATTCTTGATTGTGTCTAAACCTTGTTGAGGAATAGTAAGGTTTGAATTGTCACCTGCAGATTCAGCATAGGGAGGTTCTCCTACCACAACCACGGCATATGAGAAGTTATTAGATTTTACAAAATCCTCATCCGGGCTTTCACTGTAGGAGATTTCTGTACTTGGATGAACTGCAGTCGAGATCCCGTTAAAGATTGTGGTTCCAGCAGTGTGGTTGTTTCCACCTTGTCCTTGCCAGGTTATCGTCCAACCACCACATTGAAATCCAAGATTGTTAGCATGGCTTCCAGCAACTAAGATTTTGGATGCCTTTTTGGGTAGTGGAAGTACAGGGCTATCAGCATTTTCTCCATTCTTCAATAGTACAAGTGATTTCCTCACAGCTTCCCTTGCCAAATCTCTGTGAGCCTATTTAAGGAACAAATTATATTTGCATTGTGTACTTGAATAAGGTTTTAGCTTCGTTTTATTTTAACTGACCTGGCTTCCAAGTTGATCAACTAAACTATGATCAGCTATTGGATTCTCAAAGAGGCCCATGCTGAATTTAACTCTCAATATCCTTCTGACAGCATCATCAATCCGGCTGATTGGAATGAAGTTTTTGTTCACCAAAGAGGTTAAAATATCAATGAATTCTGTATGGTTGAGAGGGACCATAACCTGAAAATTTTAATGGGGTAAACGTCGTGTAAGCATTTGATGCGCATGCATTTTGAACAATCAGAAGTATCTAACTTACCATGTCAATGCCAGCTCTAATCCCGTTTAGAACGGAATACGTATAATTGGCATGTTGTGGATAGGTGATTTTGTCGATTCCTTGCCAATCTGAGATGACAAATCCCTAGAAGTTGTAGCAAATTCGAAAAATTATTATTGAGGGATATATCAGTATGTTTTCTTCTGTTAAACTAAGAATTATTTGAAGCTATACCCTGAATTTCAAATTGCCTTTGAGGAATTTGGTGACAAGTTGACGATTTGCATGCATTTTGACTCCATTTAGACTCGAATAGGATACCATGACTGTTGACACACCCTTGATGATTGAATTGTAGTATGGTGGCATATGAATGCTTAGCAATCCATGCCAGTTAGTCACTGTGTTGTTCATATTGATTCCATCTATCGTCCCACCATCTCCAACGTAGTGTTTTGCACAAGCCGCAACCTTAGTACTTTTTCACATACCCAAGAAAAAGAATCAAATTAGGGGCATTACGAACAATGTCGATTATGCATTTTTAGTGCGTGTTTGGTGCACTGTATAATGTTCAATTGTGATGGATAGTACAATTCTAACATCTACTTCAATGCATATTTAGGAATACTTACTTTCCACCAACATAAGGAACACCCTTCGTTGAATTCGCAGGGATGTCTCCTTGTAAACCAGAAATGATTTCGGTCATTTCTTGAACAACTTTAGGGTCTTCACTGTAACTCTCGTAACACCTTCCCCATCTTGGATCTCTGCATACCTATTAAATGTAGAAATTGAACACAGTTTAGTTTGTGAAAATTAAGGTTTTCATAAAATTGTACGAGGAATATTGTATACTGCAATGCATGGAGCAAAGACATAGGGAATGCCAGTAGCTCTGGCTTCAAGGGCAGTTGCAGCACCAATCCTCTTCACAAGATCTTTATCTCTGTATGATGAATAAAACAGAATAATTAAAACACCATAAAATTTAAGGAATGACATCAGTAAAGAATATAGTACTGACCTAGTTGCTCCTAGGCCAATATTGTGGGGAAATATGGTAGCCTTGTAAACATTGTTGTGTCCATGAACAGCATCAATCCCATAAATCATAGGAATTCCAAGTCTGCTAGACAAGGAACCTGTCTGAAATCCATTCACCATATCCACCCACCCCTCGGGGGCGGCGTGTTTATGTGGCACGCTACCGCCACCGCTTAGGACACTGCCGATAGAGTAATCTCTCATGATCTCGGCTGTAGCAGCGCGTCGATCAATCTGTACCATCTGGCCAATTTTCTCTGCGAGGGTCATTTGGTTCATGAGAACCTTCATTCGAGTATTCATGGGCTGGTTTGGATCCTTGTACAGCATGTTCAACTTTGAGTCTTGTCCCCATGCTGATGCACATAAGAGCAGAAGTCCCAATATGGCGACTGAATACCTTGACAACATTTCTTCGAAACTCGTTTGCCTTCTGAAAAAATGAGATTGTAAATTAAGAAATACAAAACTTCATAGAAAACTTAAAAACATTCATGAATTTACAGAAAATATATAGATGAAGAAAGGGAACTCATACTCCGTGGAGGAGGAGGGAAAAAAAAATATAATGAATAAGAATTAAATTAATGACCATGTAAAAGGTTACAGTATGTGGCTTTATAATTTGTTAGGACTCATTATCCAATTTGAATGATAATTCAGTTTAATTGAACAGATTAGTTACTCAATTATCTTCATGGATAAGTACAAATCTCTCGTAACAAAATTACTTAGCAAATTATAGGATTGTTGGTTTGATTGATTCTAAACTATATTAATTTTTGTTTAAAAAAAAAATCTTGAGTTCAAATAGAATAATACATGATAGGCATATACGATTTATAGGAGTCGCGCGTACTTTTTTTCTTTATTTGTTTTATCGAGAATTTTATTCTTGATATTTCATGACATATTAGGGTGAGTTTGATGACAAAAATGAAATTTGCATGAAAAGAGTTGCATATAACTTATTTGTATGTAAATTATTAATTAAATGTGTTTAATTTATTTAGTTTTCAACCTAAAAAATATTATACTTGTCCATTTTTTTATTGGTGGGTAGATAAGAAAGAGAGAGAGATAGTAAATTGTCTGGAAAATAAAAAATCTCCCTACAAGAAAATATTTTCCTTATTTTCAAGGAAAATATGGTCACGTGATTAAAAGTTAGAAAATGTTTTCCTTGAAAAAAATTGTCAATCAAACAGTACAAAAATAGGAAATTAGGTGAAAAAACACATTTTTCATTAAAGATTTTAACAATCAAATGCACCCTAAAAAAACATATTTTTAGGAATATATTATATAAAATTCAAAAGTAATTCAAAGTTAATTTAAACGCAAATGAAGATAAAACAAATAACCGAAAAAAAAAAATCTCTATAGTAAATTATGATAAAAGTTGATGAATTATATAATTGAAATGTTGAATAAAATTGTGAATCAGTGAAATGTGTGGTTAAAAATGAGTTTGAAGAAAAAATAAATTTTAAAAAAATGTGAACTAAACACGAGGTAATATTTCATAACTTCAGAAAATCAAGAAACTAAATTTTGGCAATCTTTCAACAAAGAACATGAGACTTTCATAAATTATAGTAATGGTGGTTATATTGTCACCACAATTTTTATTTTTTATACCATATATTAATTATAATTAAGCTCATCAATCCTTATTCATTGAAGTAATTATTTTTTTAACTTTTTTCAGTCGAATTCTTATCTTCAACTTTTCGTAATTATACATCTAGTCCTTGAAGATGATTTATATTAAAACATTTTGTTTTCATGCTTTCAAATGAGAAAAAAAAAATATTTTTTTCACATTTTTATTTATTTATTTTTATAAAAAGTTAAATTGTTACGTCATTTCAATGGACTTTTGGGTATGAAATTGTTATCAAATACAAAAGGAAAATAATGGTTGTACACCGTGCCATACGACATGGTGTACAACCCCCTCACATGTGAGGGGGCCCACCATGAATAAAAATTCGTGGGCTCCCTCTATGTGAGAGAGCTTTACACCATGATGTATATGTGGCAGTTCTCAATACAAAATGTGTTAGTTAATTGAAAGTTTGATGATAAGAGTGACATAAAAAAATCATCAAGGACATAACTGCTATAAAGGGCAAAGATTAAAAAATTTAAGTACAATTAAAATGTGATAAAAGAAATAAAAATTATGTGTGAATATAATTACCTTATATTAATATAAAATGAATACTCATTTAATGAATTCAAAACCATTTTGAACTAAACATTTCATATATAAACACTCATGTTTTAGCACTCAAGTTAACTACGAAATAGTGAATACATCACTAAAGCAACATTTATGTATATTCCGTACAAAAATGGGTACGAGAAAATTCCCCGTTCTTTCGTCCTAATTTGTGTTAGCGAACATCCATGTAAGATGATTGCATCAATATTTCTTAATTTTTTAAAGCGATAACTTGTACATTTGTCAAGAAAGTCTTTCTTTATTGTCATGCATTGTTGAAATTTGACCAATTGTAGGTGTCCCCAGTGCCACATAGACTAGCGCGTAGCACAACCTAAGCTAGTTAACAAGATTTCATGATTCCCACAACTGATCATGACAATCCGAAAAATCTTATTGGCATTCTCATCAGTTATAGCTAAAATCAAGAAAGTAAATTTTGGCAATCTTACAACATGGAACATGAGACTTTCATAAATTCCAGTAATATAAAATCATATATAAATACTCGTTGTTTCTACGAAAGGGCGAACACATCACTAACGCAACAAGTATATTCCATACAAGAATGGGTACGAGAAAATTTCTCTTTCTTTCCGTCCTCATTTGTGTTCCCCTTGTAGCCTTTGCTCAAGGCGAACATCCAGGTGAGCGGGTTGCATCAATATTTCTTAATTTTTCGAGATATTTGTGTAATTCTTAAAATCGATAACTATCTATTTTGACAGAATTTTGTTTTGGGGAGTGCACGGCAGTATGCGGTGATTGTTTGTGCAAGGAGCACTGTCTACAAATGCACATGGGGCGACATGGTTACTGCAATGACCCAGTTCCTGGCTCGACAGGAAAATGTTGCTGTGCGAGACAGGCCCCTCCATCTCGTTCTCTGCATATGGCTCCATTCGAGGAAAATAATGTTGTGGGTTAAAAATAAAAGTACTCAAATTACTGTTGGGAATTGTTCAATCATCTTTCATTAATAAAAAGGATATGAACTTTGTTCTTTGATTTTTTTTTTTTTTTGATTTGTTCCGAAACTACATAAATTACTTGAAATGCCCTTGTTCGAAATTATCCACGTTAAACTCGTGTAAAAGAGGCAATATTGCCCTTAACTACAATCATTGGGTTCAATTCGGTTTCAGAATTTTAGATAGTTCCATTACAAAATAACACTATTGATTCTTGATTTGGTGCTTAAGATAATCGAGTTGAACTGAACCGAGTCACATCAACACTACCCTTAACTTTAAATAAATAAGGAAAAAAATAAAAAAAGAACAGAAGAAAAAAAGATTGAAATTGAAAAAATTAAATTAAAAGGATTGTTCTTCCTCGCCGTCAATGAATTCCCAACCTCAAGCCCCAACACTGCTGACCCTCGTCGCAAAACCAGCAACGGCGAACACCAACACCCAAACCCAAACCAATGTCGGCACCGACAATGTCCCCTACCACCACCCTAAAGCACCAGCTTCGAGGATTTTTTCATCCCTTCCTCTCCACGTGTGTGTACTTACTTTTTCTTAATATATTTTTACATTAAATAATAGTAGTTTATATTTGTTGATCATAAGACATTAAATAGAGAGAGTAATATATACTAAGATGCATGGAAACTTAGGACAGCAAGCTCTTCATTTCGAAAACTCAAAAAAGGTCTTTCATATTTTAAATTTTAATGAAATTCGGAAACTCAATGGAAATCGAAATTCGTTGGTTTTGTAATCAAGAGGTCATTCAAACTTTGTTTTTGTTCGGTTGATTGGTTCAATAATTTGCGGGTCGAAATTCTACCGTTTACAACCTGAATTTGGGTTTCTCCAGCGCTTTCAATTAATTCTGCGATTTCCACGCTGATCCCGTACTCGGGTTCGCGTCACTTCGAGCATAAAAATTCAGAAATTAAGAAAAAAAAAAAGAAACTTAATTACATGCTCTCAAGTAAAAATAAGTAACTTTGATTAAAATTAACTCCAATTATACGATTTAATTATTACACCAAAAGAATTTTGATGCTAAGTTTTAAGTTTTAGCGTAAACCTAGATTTTCTAATTTTAGTACGGTGCCGTCCTTGGTAAAATTATTATTTCTATATTACTTTCCACCAGATTTCATCTAAGAATTCATGTAAGATGACAATGGTTGTGTGTGAAAGTTGAATCATGCTACTTGTACAAACTTATTTGTACAATTATCGATAACAATCTTTGTTGACGTCATCACGTCCATACATTTTTAAAATTGTCAAAAATTGTTTTTTTAAATCATTGGTCTGAATTTTGTCACCTCCAACATTATCAACAATATTTGTCAATCAACATTATACAAATAGCTTTATCTGTGAACGTCTTAGTTACATTAGTTTTAGCGTGTTATTTTGTTATATTAACTTTTTTTCAAAAATAACGTTTCTTCTTATTGTGTTCCGTTTCATTTTCATTCCCATACAATTTGGTAGATATAGCCCATGTTTGGGTTTCATTAAAAAATAGTTTTTCGGGGAAAATATATTTTGTAATTATAATTTTTTGGAGAATGTGTGGTTAAAAAATAAGAATAGAAGTTTTAGATTCACTTGTATGTATGATTGAAAATTAAAAAGGAAAAAATAATTTTTTTCAAAAATGAGCCCATTTAACACCCTTATTTTACTTTTATTAATTCAAATTTCAATAGTCAAATTGTTGCCATGGATTGTCTTAATTTAGTTCGAACCAATTATTTGACCACTGTTCGTCCCCGATTCGATCCTTAACTTTTTCGAGTCAATGTATAAATTGATTTTTAAAACGTTAAACCAAACTCATATTGTTTCTATATATTCTTCCAAAATGATAATCTAACTTTTTTGTTCTGTTACTAGCCAACTCTGTTCATCACCATTTATTCGAACTAGCGAAAATGCCGTGCTACATCACCATTAAATCTGAATTTCTGGTCCTAAAGTTCATACATGTCCAGAAACAGTAACAGTATCATCTCATGAACATGGGAAAGAAATTACTATTTGACAATTCACATTCTTCTAAGCCTCCTTCCTAGGCTTAGTAGTGAGTCCAAAACCAAACGGAAAAAGAGGATCATAATGTGGATCGCCTACGTTCATCGGAAGTTGGTCGACTGATTTGAACCAAGTGCGCGCTAGTTTGCCTGTGAAACCATAATCACCAAACAAAACATCTGTCACACCCTGACCTTCAGTTCCCGGAAGCCAAGCAGCCACAAGTGCGTCCATTTGTGCAACATAAGGCTCAACTACAACAGGACGGCCTGAGATGATGACTACCACACATTTGACAGCCCCACAGACATTTTTGATAGTGCTTGGACCTGGTTCAGATATAGTTAGATTCAAGCTATCTCCCATAAATTCTGTGTATGGGGTTTCCCCCACGACAACAATGGCATAAGAAAAGTTGTTGGATTTAACAAAGTTTGTATCTGGATTCTCCATGTAGACAACTTCTGTAGAAGGATCAACAGTCTTTTTCACAGCAGTTAAGATTGTGGTTCCTGTAAATGTTAAAAGCGTGAAAAATCAAGCCTTATTCCCAACATTAGCTTGGCATCGGTATCTGCGTATGTTAATCTGGAACTTCTATTTGTAAACAATTTTTATTAGGTTCTAAAACATACCGGCTGTAAGGTCATTGCCCTGAAGACCCTGCCATTCTATTGTCCAGCCTCCACATTGGTCACCCAAATTGTCAGCATTGCTTCCTGCAACTAATATCTTTGGCGCTTTCTTTGGAAGGGGAAGCAGTGGTTTGTTAGTGCTTTTACCATTCTTCAAAAGCACGAGTGATTTCCTCACGGCTTCCCTTGCCAATTCCCTATGTTCCTGTTTAAAAAATGTAATATAATCGAACCTGATCTAGCGATCTTCTACTTTAGAAAGGTGTAGACGTAACATATTTGATGAATAATGGAATAGATTGATAACCTGACTGCCAAGTTGGTTTGCCAGGCTAAGATCAGCCATCGGGTTTTCAAAAAGGCCCATAACAAATTTGACCCTTAATATCCTCTTTACGGCATCATCAATCCTGCTCATTGGGATAATATTGTTCTTCGCTTGGAAAGTCAGATCATCAACGAATTCAGTGAAATTTTCTGGAAGCATAACCTGATCAATGTAATGGAGACGCTAGTCATTACAAAAGGTAACTACGAGAAAAGGTAAGTCTGAACCACATTAAAACCATTTTTTCTTTTGGTCAACAAATCTGCCCGTGGATGTAGGCCATTCTACTCGAAGCAGCATAATCGCTTAAGACTAACCATGTCAATTCCCGCAAGAACACCAGCTTGAACGGAATAAGAATAGTTAGCATGTGGTGGATCTGTAATCTTGTCAATACCCTGCCAATCTGATATAACAAAGCCCTGAAAAGAAATTCAACAGATACAACCAAACTTAGAAAAATTTCGGCCATTTTACACTTGAAATGATGTTCATAAATTCATCGGAGGGTTACCCTGAACTTCAATCTGTTCTTTAGGAAGCCAGTGACAAGATCATGGTTAGCATGCATCTTCTTTCCATTCCAGCTTGAGTAAGATACCATTATTGTGGCTACACCCTTTCGAATTGAATCACGGTACGCCGGCATGTGGATGCTAAGCAAGCCATTGTAGTCGATCACGGTGTTATTCTCATCAATTCCCTTGACTGTGCCACCATCCCCTACAAAGTGTTTGGCACAGGCTGCAACTTTTGTCCTGGACCAGGAAACCAATCTATTTAGTTTAAATGGGCTCATAATTGCAAGAGGCCAGTTAAAGTACAAACAAACTATATGTTAAATGCAGATGTCACTTAAAGATCATAAAGCAAGGAATATTCTAAAATTTGAAACCCCAGAGATTGGAGTAGCAAGTAAAAAGAGAAACTCTAACAACATTAAAAAAAGGAAATTTATTTGACCGGAAAATATATTCAACAGGAGGGGAATGTTATAAACAATTAAGAAGTTGACATCCTTTTCAATGACTAGACTACAATAAATGATAAATAGGGTTACTAAACTGAGGAAACAAAAAAATAAATGGTATGTACAAAAGTAGTTGGCCCACCATGATGGACTGTCTAGCAAAAACTATATCTGTATGGAAGGTGCTACAAGTACATCGGGGTGTACATAAGGGTGTCCATAATGGACACCCGGCACCTCCCCATTGGATGAAGTGCAGGTGGGGTCGGCACTTCATCCAACGGGGAGGTGTCGGTGTCCATTATAGACACCTTTATGTCCCCCCTAATGAGTATTCATAATTGATACCGGGCACCTCCCCATTGGATAAAGTGCAGGCGGTGTTGACACTTCATACAATGGAGAGGTGTCGGGTGTCTATTATGGATACCGTTATGTAACCCCTAATGTACAAGTAGCATTTTCCATATCGGTATTTAGTGCTTTTATCCTCATCTCAAAGAATTGACTACTAAACATAGAAGGCAAAGTTTAACACAGAGAACTAAATGCGACAATATCGAGCGGTGTTGTGAACGGGGGAATTATACTTTTGTTCATAGCTGAAGTTTGGTAAACTCGTAAGTTGTAATTTTTATGAATTACTAACTGAAATTTTAATTTTATCAAGTTCGAGAAATGCCAAGTTGAATACCATGTCCAACAGACCTAAAAGACTAGGATCAATAACATCTGACGACATACGAATAATCAGTTTCATAATATGAAATAAATTGCAGACCAACATCAGGACAACCCATGTGACCACTTCCCACATAAAAACTGTATGTCAATTGAGCAGTTACCACTTCCACATAATAACAGTACGATAATTGATAAATTATTCGATAAATACACAAAGCAAAATTGATCTAAAGCAAAATAAAAAAGAAGATTCATACTTTCCAGCAACAAATGGAACACCCTTGCGGGTTGCTGGGGGGTCTCCCTGTAAACCAGGTATAATTTCAGTCATTGCTTGAACGATCTTATGATCTTCGCTATAGCTTTCATAACAGCGACCCCATCTAGGATCCCTGCAGACCTGTAAGTATTCAAATGATCAGGAATCATATATATACACAACTGCTGAATGGGAGAGAGGAATAAAAGCACGCTGCCAAATTTACTTACTGCAATGCAGGGTGCAAAAGCATATTGGATTCCTGTGGCTCTAACTTCAAGTGCAGTGGCAGCTCCAATCCTCTTCAAAAGTGCCGGATCTCTGATCCAAATTCAAATTATTAGACATGTAAATAACAGAACAGACACAAAGATTAGAAATTCTAATTTTAAGTAAGTAGACAAAAACTCTTTATACTCTCAGTATTAATATCATAAATTATACATGAGGTTATAATCTTCAGAGAAAATGAGACGAAAACTGCGTTTCAGATCCCATAAAGTATCTGGGGGATTTGGAAATAGAACATAATTTTTGTTCTAAGTTTACTTCTATGTAGAATTTCGTAAAGCACTGACAAGAAACATATATAAATTCTTACAATTACAAAATTTCCATTCCAAGAATCTTTTCAATTTCATCAGCTAAGCTGTAACTTGTCAATTCTCCCCACCATAATTACAGGAATAATAATGCACCAATTCAGCTTAAGGAACAATAGATCTTTTGATTCTTTGAACGTAATCATTTTCAGCAACCCAGTTTCTCTCAAAGATATTGAAAACACATACATACACACAACAAACAGAAACTTCAAAACACACTTAAACAAGATACCTTTAATATAATTTCAATAAATAGGCTGTGAGTTCTCACAAACATAATGCTAGCACTTTGAAACCCTATAAAAACCTTTGCATATTCTCATTTACACAAGTGTTAAACTTGCCTGGTGACCCCAAGCCCAACGTTGTGAGGAAAAATAGTAGCCTTGTACACATTGTTGTGGCCATGAACTGCATCAATCCCATAAATCATAGGAATTCCGAGCCGGGTGGAAAGAGAACCCCTTTGAAGATCATTAACCATATTCACCCAAGTCTCAGCAGTGGCCTTAGGTGCTGGTACACTCCCCCCTCCACTCAATACACTCCCTGCCGAGGATCATTCTTTTTTTTATATACAACATTCAAAGTTCAAGAAAATTTCGAGAAAAACATAAAGTTATGGTGAAAGTTATGTACCGATAAAATACTTCTTCATAACATCAGGCGAAGCATCTTTTCTCTCAATCTGAGTCATCTGACCAATCTTTTCTTCAAGCGTCATTCTCCCCAGCAAATCCCTAATTCTAACACTCAATGGCTGTTTGGGATCCTTGTATTTAATATACTCTGCCTCCGCGACAGCAGTCCACAAGCACAACACTGCAAAACACATGACGGGAATCGAAAATCTCCCCATTCTAGCCACCACCCTCATTAGCCCTTTTGCACAGAGTGTCTGTAACATATTCAAGAAACAAATCAAATAACTAAAAGAACACCTTAGCATTATGTAACCAACCAATGAACCAATCCATGTATGTTAAAAATGCAAATAAAATACCAGTCTAAAGAAGAAGCTGTATAGAGAGATACCTTTGTACGTATAGAGCTTCACTCTGCTTGTGTGTTGGGAGGTTGATTGAATGATGGTGATATATATAATGCGTGTATGTATACGTAAAGCGAAAATTGATGGGTATTTTCGTCAGTTTCGCGCTTGCCCTTATTTGATTCGTTACAGCCACTTTTTAGCGCCTGTGAGCATTTCTGACAGTGGCAGGAGCAAGTCAGGCGACCTGTCGAAAGTGGGCCACTCAGTGTAACGGATATTTTGTTAAGGGGAAATTTTAGCCGCGGTCTATGACATTTTCAATTTTTGCGGATCAATTTGTGACATCGATAGTCTCCAATCTTTCAAAGATATGCATCTCAAGTCCAAATGGATGGAAATAATTCAATTGGCAGTTAAATGACCAAAAAATTTGATTTTAACCAAATTTGATAAGAACAAATTAGTAACTTAATTAATCTCATATTATAACAATAAAAAAATAATAAGAAAAGAAATGAAAAAACAAAGGTTCTCCTTCACTTCACTCCACAAACCCCTTTCCCACCCCTAGGCCCCACCCCTACAAATCAACTACAAGCTCCGTCACCTAATGCCGTCACCACCTTCGGCATCACCACCGACGTCAAAGCGATCAATTGCAGCGCCCATTCGATAATCCCAGAGCTGAATCACGCCGTTGTGAAAACTCGTCAAAATCCATGGCTCTATTACTCTTAGTCTCAAACTTCATCGATATTTTTCAATTCTCCACAACCAGATCCAACCTTGAGAGGCTCTATCAATTTCATAATCAAAATTTGAGATTCGCATTCTGTAATAACTGTAGAAGATTCGAGCAAAAGATAACCAAAAATAAAAAATTAACTCAACGGTAATGATTCTTGGCGCTAAGGATGAGTATTCATATATGAGATTTGAAATAGAAAAATGGACAAAAGCACAATGTACTAATTCTATTTTTATGCACACCAAATCTTCATCTCCTTCTCCCAATTTGATATTTTCTCCTGAGGGCTTTTGATTAAACTTAAGTGTGGAGGACTGTAGAAAGGTAGGCAACTGTGGTTGTTGCTTGTGTGGATGGTTTGGTAGTGTGTGGTGGCTGAAAGTGGTCAAAGCTGGTGGATTGTGTGCTGTGGCTTGGTGGTGTCGTTGCTGAAGGTGGTTGGGGGTGAGGGGAGGTGAAGGAGATAAAGATTTGGGGTGGGGAGCAATTTTTTTATTATTGTTTTTAGCTTAATTTGATTTTTAGAAAGTTTAATATGTGATTGACATAAATGACCTTATCAAAATTGGTTAATATCAAATGTTTTGGTCAACTGGATAGTTTCCATCCATTTGGACTCGAGATGCATATTTTTGAACTGTTAGAGACTTTTGACAACACAAATTGAAGATTGGGATAAAATTCGCAAAAACTGAAAAGATTAAGGATCGCTGCTGCACTTTTTTCCTTTTTTAATGTATCTTTTTACGGACTTAGAGCATCTTTAAAAAAAAATTATAATAAAAACTCTTTAAATTTTGATCCATTATTATTTTTCTTATTGTTCTTAGTTATAAAATATTTGTAAATTTTCCAAATGAAGGCTAAATTGGTGTACATGATGATAGTAATCGAACAATGTTGACAAGAACAAATGAGGGTTGCAAGGTAACTATTATATTACAAGTGAAATTAAAGAAGAATTCATAGTAGTGGTGGTTGGCCCGTCTTTGCCTGGGATGACCCTTTTTCGTTAAAAAATTGAATGGTTCTACTCAGGTTCGGTGGCTTCATGAGTTGGCCTACCATAATAATAAATGCATTGGGTTTGATTGTCTAGCCCGATAGGCCCATGATGACCGACACAATTAGCAAGACTTGCAATATTGATGGGTCTATAAGCCAATTCGATCCTTAGATTTGAAGGAGAAAGTTTATGGTTCAGGGGTTTACTTTCAGCAAATTAAAAATCAGGTACCAAAGTTTTAAATTACAAAACTCGGGTTTTTCTTGAATTAATTAGTTACATTTCAGAATTATTATATTAAATTAAATATTTAACTGTAATATAATAAATTAATCCACCCCACCCCATTGCTCCAACGACTACCATTGCTCCGGCGACTTTTTCGAGGTCACAGATCAAAACATTTGTACATCACGGGTTATTTCGAGGTCACAGATAAAAAATTTTGTAGATCGCAAATTATTTCGAGGTCACAGATTTAAAATTTTATAGGTCACAGATTATTTCGAGATCACAGACCAAAAAAATTAAGGTCACAAATTCTTTTTTTAAGTTACAAATTTTCAATTTCAAAGTCACAGTTCAATAGTAAGGTCACAGACACCAAAAAGAACCACAATAGCTAGGTCACAGTCACCCAAACACCCTTCTCCCATTTCAGCGAGTCATAGTCCCAATTTCTAGATCACGGACACCCACACAGGTCACAGATTGAAAAAAAATCAAAACTTTTATTTGTCGCAACTCTATTTCAGTGAGTCACAGATACAATTCCTAGGTCACAGACACCCACCTAGATCACAGACACCCACCGTCGTTAATCATGCCACATCAATAACAAAAAACTACGACCACCACACATATCACCATCATCATAACACGACCGCCACCACAGATCCACCACCACCGCACAAAACATACCACTACAGATACACAACCACACAACCCAGATCTGCGACAGTTTCCAAAACCAAATGCAATCAAGACTTGGTCACAACCACCTCCAAACACTTGGCCATAAAATCTAATGACCCAAACCCTCAATCAACTTGACCTTAGGTAACTTCACCTTGGAGGCAGTCACAGTTCTCAGCCTCCTTTCTCACAACATCAAGAACCGAATCAATGAGCTCAGCACCCTCAGTATAATACCCTTTAGCCCAGTTGTTTCCAGCATCGGACTGTCCAAAGACAAAGTTATCTGACCGGAAGATCTGATGCTGTCCATAACACCAGGTTCAAGATCCATGAGCACGGCACGGGGAACAAACCGGCCGCAGCTAGCCTCGTTGTAGTAGATATTGACCCGCTTCAGTTGCAGATCTGAGTCCCCTTGGTACCGACCAGTGGGATCGATACCGTGTTCGGCTCATACTACTTCCCAGAACTTGGCATCGATTTGGTTGCCGCACTGACCACCCTGAACGGCAGCAGCTTCATAGGGAGGGAGAAGGGAGGAGGGAGAAGGCGGGCACCGCGACAGTGGTGAGAGTGAGGGATGGTTGTGTGGGATAAAATGATAAAATTAGGTTTTAAAGAGTTAATTATTTAATTAAAATGATAAAAAAAAACTTGATAAATTAAAAAAAAAAAAGGTGAAAACCTGATTTTTAAAAAGGAGATACTTAATGCCTGGTTTTCCCTAATTTTCCCAGATTTGAAAGACCGTATGAGCTTAGGTCGAGTCATTTAGAGGGATCGAAATTTAGGAGACTTGATCTAGTCTAGTTGTAGGCTGGGCCATTCCAGTGCAACTCAACCATTTTGAATTTATAATAGTGGAAATTACAAGGATTAAGTGTTTTCAAAATCTCAATTAATAATTAAGAGATATAAGTTTTTCAAAAATAAGATATAATTAAAATTTTAAATATTAATAATAATATTATAAAATTAAATTAATTAACATACCACATTCATCCACCTCACTTACAAATCCTAAATTTATCTTCATTCATCTCTCTCCATTCTCTCTCTATATCTCACCTTCTTTCTCATCTTCCTCTCTCGGCTTCATACACTCTTCGTCAACCTCCGTCATCGGAGAGCGTCGCCGTAGGAGACCTTCTCTCTATCTTCTTCACTGTAAGCTCCATGGATGAAGCCATTTTTTGATTGCAAATCGCGCCAGCAGCGGCCTAGATCGTCGGAAACTCTACAGATCTCAAGTAAAGTCGTTCCTTCATTGTGAGCGCTACTAGAGGCTTTGCAGATCATGGTTGAAGCGGCGTAGATCGCGATGGTGATGACATAGATCGTGGTTGCAACGACCTAGATTGCATCGATGTTTTTTTTTTAAATTGTTGGATGGGTGGTAGCGATTTTCATGTTTTGGTGGTTTTAGAGCGATGGTGATAGTGGTGGTGGGGTGAGGTGGTGGTACTGCTAGTAGTTATGTCAAGGTATTGACGGTGATGGTGGCATTGGAGGCGGAGGTTCATGTGGTGGTGACGTTGGCGGAGGCAATCATATTTTGTTGGTTTAGGCGTGTTTTTTTGTTGGTGGTGCTGCGAAGGATCTAGCAGCAATGCTGGTGGACTTTAGCGCTAGTGTGGTGGTGGATCGGCGTTGTTGGCAGTGGTGAGGTAGTGATCGCAAACAGTTGTGGTGCAGGCAGTGGTGGCGGCGTCGTGGTATTGGTAGCGACGAAGGTCAAGTGGGGCCAGAGTGTTTGTGACCAATAAATTAGTTGATTGTAACCAATAAATTGAGTAATTTGTGACCAATATATAATATGTGACCTACAAAAATGTGATTGCGATTCACAATTTACTAAGTTGTGACTTAGAAATAACTTGCGACCAATTAATTTAATAACTTGTGACTTATAAAATTTACAATTTGAGACTGATAAATGAATTGTAACCTATCAACATTTTGATTTTGTGATCGATGAATAAATTGTAATCTATAATTTTTTTTATTTGTGATCGAGGAAATATTATAATCAATTAATTCGAGAATTAGTGACAAATTATATGGAATTGTAACCTTAATGAATTTAATTAAGAAAAATATATTTTAATTAATTATTTTATAAATAAAATTTAATAAATATCTGATTTTTGAAATTTTAAACATTTTATCTTAATTTAAAATGAATGATAGTTAAACTCTCACTTATGAATTTTTCCTTCATCATATATAGAATTTTAAAACAAGGGAACTTAAAATTTCTCGAACTTGGCCCGAATGCTTTATTATTTTTGATATTCTAGCATTACTTTCGGAAGTAGGTCGTAGTTCTTGACCCTTTATGCTTAGACATATAAATTAAATTGATCACTCCCAGGGGCGGACGCTGAACTTTAACGTTGGGAGGCAAATCGAACTTGCAAAGAAGTTGGTAGAAATTTTACAATCGAAAATTTATGTCCAAAAAAATACTCTCCATGTAATTTTACGTCCAAAAATTTACATGGGATATGACTTTTTCGAATGTAAAATTTCGAAATTTTTTGAAAATTTCCTAATAAAATGATGAAAATTACATTGAGAAATTTGTATCGCAAAAATAATAAATGTTCATGAAATAATCGAATTTTTTTTTTAAAAAAATACGAGTTAGACGTCTTTTTAAAGGTTCACGTTTAACGTATTTTTAACTATTTTAGATATATGTTTGAACTATTCGATATGTTCATAATGTAATTCTTGAAATAAGTTTCGAAATGATACAAACTATTTGTAGATTCGATTAGCGTACGATCGTCTGAGAATTTTTAAAATTTGTATATTTCGAAATTCAAATTTATTTTGATTTTACTCCTGTTTGGTAGAGATTAAAATCAAATTTTTAGTAAATTTTGGTACAAACAGTTATGGATTCCATGAAATATGTTATTAAAACTAATTGTTAACCTTGTTTTACATTAAAATTAAAATTTCAATCAATAAAAAAAGTGATTTAAAAAAAAAATCTCAAACGTTGGGGGCACCTGACCCAGGACCCCCCTTGGGTCCGCATCACTCCTAGCTTCCTTTTGCTACCAATTCTCCCGTCAAACTGAATTGATTTTCCTCGTTTTAGCTCATAGGACATTATGGTGATACTTCATTATTAAATAAAAAATCTTTATACAACATAATATATAATTAATTGTAATTTGTATCAGTAAAATGGTAGTCTTTATTACCACAGGATTTCCTCTGCAATTGCAATGTAAGTTCTTTAAATAGGAGATCAAATTGAATAGGATGGTGAATACCATCAAACTATGAATGCGATCAATTGAATCACTGGGCTGCTTTCAGTTCCCTCGGTGTCGTTTCGAGTCCGAATCCAAACGGAAAGAGAGGATCGTAATGTGGATCACCGACGTTCATTGGAAGCTGATCGACTCTTCTGAACCAAGTCCGCGCAAGCTTGCCAGTAAAACCATAGTCGCCAAACAGAACATCAGCAATGCCTTGGCCTTCTGTCCCGGGGAGCCAAGAAGCAACCAATGCATCTATTTTCTCAAGGTACGGTTCGATTACCACTGGGCGACCAGACACGATAATCACGACACATTTCACAGATTCACAGACATTAGTTAGTGTGCTATAGCCAGGTTCAGCTACTGTCAGTGTCTTGCTATCACCACGTGTTTCTACGTAGGGAAGTTCACCTATGGCTACAACGGCAAAATCAAAGTTTTCGGATTTCACAAATTCTGCATTGGGATTATCGTTGTATACTACTTCGGTAAAAGGATCGACCGTGTTTTTCACAGCATCCAAGATTGTGGTACCTGTCAAAAACAAGAATCAAATGAATCATAATGTGAAATAACCACAAGCAAAAATTTGTAAAATAGGATTTTGATTGCTTAAAATTACTTGATGTCTAAATCCTGGTAAGAATTGAATGTACAAATTCAATTTGCATCCTTATGGAGGAGAAAATACTTCAGTGAGAGAGGGTCTTATATGTACACGTGATAGAACCGTCTAGTAAAATCCTTGAGATGTACAGTTTAACTTTTGATCAAAATCAACATATCATGTGCGAGAATTTTGGACTTCAGAACATACCAACTGTAATGTTGCCGGAGAGACCATTCCATTCTATCGTCCATCCTCCACATTGGTTACCAATGTCATTGGCATGACTTCCTGCCACAAGTATCTTTCGAGTTCTCTTTGGAAGGGGAAGCAACGGCTCATCACTATTTTTACCGTTCTTGAGAAGTACGAGTGATTTCCTCACAGCTTCTCTCGCTAATTCTCTATGCTCCTGTTCATAGAATAAATGATCCAAGAAATACTTTACTTAAATTGATGAAATAGATGGGAACAAAGCCAAATCATCTCGAGGGGGCTATGTCAATGGACCTGGCTTCCTAATTGATCAACAAAGCTGAGATCAGCCATTGGATTCTCGAAAAGTCCCATAATAAATTTGACCCTCAAAATCCTCCTCACAGCATCATCAATTCTGCTCATGGGAATCACATTCTTCTTCACCAGTAAAGTCAAGTCATCAATGAACTCGATATACGTCTCTGGAACCATAACCTGTAATGAATCAGGAAAAATGAAGCTGAATATAATCCCCCTTTTTTCTCCTTTTGTGAAGTGAGGCCGTTTTGTCAATCAACGATTAATCTGGTTCAACTAATCCCAATATAAGATAGTAATCACATATGTAATCTTTTACTTACCATATCAATTCCAGCAAGGATCCCGGCTTGAACAGAGTAAGTATAGTTAGCACGGGATGGTGTGGTTATACGATCAATGCCCCACATATCTGATATGACGAAACCCTGAAATAAGGTGACAAAACTGTTATATTGTACTTTCTGAGATAATCTTGGAATGAAAAATTGAGGAACCGAGTAAGCATATTTACTTTGAATTTGAGCTTATTCTTAAGGTATCCAGTGAGAAGCTCATGATTGGCATGCATCTTTTTTCCATTCCAGCTGGAGTATGAAACCATCACCGTTGCCACACCTTTCCTAATGGAGTCGAGATATGCAGGCATGTGGATGCTGATTAATCCGTTCCAGTCAATAATTGTGTTATTCTCGTTGATACCATTAATCGTGCCACCATCTCCCACAAAATGCTTAGCACAACCAGCAACTCTTGTCCTTTAGATTGAAACAGTGAATCAGTATCTTGAAAGGTTCTTTCATGGTGGAAATAAGAAAGAAAAATATTTTGGTGGGCTTCAATTGGGATCATGAAAACAACTAATATTAAGCAATCCATGGAATGATAATTTATTACAATCTCAAAATATACAAATGTTCATGAGTCATACGTAATCTCCTCCCGAAAATTTGTGCGTTAAAAGTTTTGGCCTCCAAAAAATGAATAAGCCATACAACAGAGATGTTGGTCTTACCTCCCATTCACAAATGGAAAATTTCTTGGATAATCGGCTGGGACATCTCCTTGCAAACCAGGTATTATCTCGGTCATCGATTGAACGATCTTATGATCTTCACTATAACTCTCATAGCAGCGACCCCATCTCGGGTCCCTACAGACCTATAAAGATAGAACAAGAAATCAAGTGAAGGCAATGCAATCGATACATGGATAAATTTGAGTATTAATTTTATTTTACCGCAACACAAGGAGCAAAAGCATAAGGAATGCCTGTTGCTCTGACTTCAAGAGCAGTAGCTGCTCCTATCTTCTTAACAAGTTCTGGATCCCTAATGACATTTTTACAGTCTTACAGTTATTTGCAGAAAAGGAGCAACAATAAGCTTCACTATACTTTCAGAAAATATAGAGACACAAACAATTCGAACAAAGTAGACGAGAGAGAGGGGAGAGAAGATACTTGCCTAGTAACTCCAAGACCAACATTGTGAGGGAAAATTGTGGCATTATAGACATTGCTCTGGCCATGAACGGCATCGATCCCATAAATCATAGGAATTCCTAGACGGGTTGAAAGAGCGGCCTCTTGAAATTCATTCACCATATTGATCCAAGTCTCAGCAGAAGCCCTTGGAGCTGGCCAACTTCCTCCACCACTCACAACACTTCCTGTCAATTTGTTAATATCAATCCAATTTTCCATTTAATATCTTATATCAAAACCATATCATGCCATAATCTACTCCAATTTTTAACGTTTCTAGTAAATTATTAAGCCATACGAAATCATTACAGTGCCTGAAACAATTCATACAATGTCTAGTCTTCAAGATTATACTTTCTTGTTTCAAGCAGAAGATGTAGGCTAGTGGCTGGTATCCTCACACACAAACTCGTACTAATCATTTTACCCAAAAACTCTAATAGACTTCTATTCGAAATTGACGAAATTCGTCACAAAATCTTATGGCATGCATACCAATAAAGTACTTCTTCATGACATCTCCAGTCGTAACCTTGCGTTCAATCTGTGTCATCTGGCCAATTTTCTCCTCAAGTGTCATTCTACTCAATAGGTCATTGATTCTAACATTCAATGGCTGTTTTGGATCTTTGTATTTCTTGAATTCAGCTTCAATGGCACCAGCCCAGAAACACAGGAGTACTAGTCCCACAACCATGCGTATCGAAAACCGCCTCATCCCTGATTTAGACACATGAATTTAAATTACACTACGCAGTGGAAACATGTTTCATCAAGGGGATATGATTATATTAATTGATAATTTTTTGAGAAAAAACCACCCATTTGGAACCAAATTTCCCAAATGTGATTTGGACATTGGGTCCCTATCATATTAAAATTTTGATTATCATTCTTTCACTCATTTCAACAACACATTCTTCAATAAAATAATAATTTCCATCAAATCAATAATTTTTCCTTCTTTTTCAATTATACATTCTCCATCATTCTACTATTCCAAAATTCATTCTTCCAAAATAATGTGGCTCAAATACACCCTGGACAGGGTTTACTACCATTTTCTTGAAAATCACACCATTAATCTATTATAATAGTTGTAATCCTTACCAGATATACATGCATTTATGCAGAGTAACATGAAAAATGAACAAAATCTATGATTAAAAAGGTCCAAGAAGCATAAACATATTTGAAAATCCCCCAAGAACAAAAGTAATATTCTCTTTACATACATTGTAAATAGACAAACAAAAAGCTGTAAGCATAGATGAACCCTTTACTTACAGCTTGATCAAGATTCAATATTTTGATAGTAGGAGTAGATTCATATAAATTTTGAGAGAGATATAAATAGGGTTTCTCTTGGAGTAGAACAGATTTGGCGCGCAAGTAAAATGGACAATCATCATATTGCCTCTTATAAATGAGAAGACGACGATCCATTCACTTTCTTTTGTTAATTCTGACAAGATAAAGTAAATCTTATCCAGTTATTATTCCATATCAACTTGACGTGTTTTCTGGATTTTCTCATTATGAGCATGGAAAATGTGAAAATCCCAAGAATAATCCAATATTTTCAAGAATGAGGTGTTATGGGTTATCCTAATCTAACATATATTTTCTCATTAATTATTTTCAAGAATGAGGTGTTATGGTTTATCCTAATCTACAAACAAAATTCTCAATGCTAGTTTTTGACTCTTGATTTTTCTTTCTTGATAAGGTTAGATTTTAGCTTAGTCAATTAGAATACGTTTTGCTTAGTTTAAAATATGGAAGCAAGTAAAAAAGTTAGGCTTATATCAAGAATAAAGAGTGATACTATCGAAATATTTTAATTATGAATTATGCTATTTACTTTCGATGACGTTAGCACTCGTCGAATGCAGTAGATTTTAGTGTCATATAAATTGGTGCTTAGGACATAAAAATCATTTCAAAGATGGGATATTTTAAATAGGGTTGTTTGAAAGTATTCAAGATGAATTGATTGAGTTGCAAGAATTTGACTAAAATATCTGCATGTTGAAAATCGAGGCATTGATGTCATCGACAAAACATGGACTTCAATTTCAGTTGATTGTGAAAACTTACCATACGAGCAGTTAATGGAATTTGGACAAAAAAAAAAAAAAGGCAGACATGACTTGTTGAAATTGTAAAACGTAAGACATTTGAAGTATAATAGTTGAGGTTTCTTGTGATAAAGCACTTTGAGTCTTGATGAGAATTAATTTTCTTATACCATGGCCGATAAAATATTTCTTCTCGTATCAATCGGGTTGGTCATAAAGAGGTTTGGGATGACCCCGAGTGTTGAGACTAGACGAATAAGCCACTTTAACATAACGCCACTTGTTGATCTTGAAATGAGTGGAGTAATAGTCGGTTTTAATAGCTCTAATGCATAGATTAATAAGACATTGGTATAGAAATATGAGAACTAGATTGGATTTCAAAAAGTTCGGAGTCCAAATTCATGGATCGAGACCCGATCTTTGCCTCTGTAGTCAAATATGTCCATTGCACCGAGTGAGTTTCGGTCATATGGCCGATACTAGCATTTTTAGTTTCCTTGATTGCAATGAAATTAAATAAATGAAAAAAAAAAGTTTCATCGAGTATAAATATAGAAAATATACTCATGATTGCACGTCACGGCGTGCATTTCATTAATGCTAGACCTTGATGAATTTTAAAAAATTTATTTAAAAATTTGTATAATTGTCCGACTAATTTTAGGCATTCACGACCAATGAAAGATTTGTAGAATTTAATAAGTTATCCCGTCCCGTGGAAGAAAAGCCATTTGTGGGATATCGTCGAATAGTTTGTAGACAAAAAAGGGGCAAATATATATAAGAAATAGGATTTTTCCATTTCTACAGAAAAATCACCACAGAAGTTCAACAGAAAATTCACATGGAGGTGGCCGCCACATGAAATTAAATATTAAAAAAAAATGCGGCCCCACCCATGTTGGGTGTGTTCTGACCGTTTTCATTGCGCGCACTTTTTTGTACACAGCGAAACTAAGAAATATTATCCAAATCCAATCACTGCAGCCATATTTAGGAGTTCTGAATGCATGCACGAGCCACGAGCCCATGTGCCTACCAAATCAAACGGGTCAGACCCACTTGCCAAATTGACATGTATTGGTATCGAGAATTAGTAAAGTTGTTACAATCATGTTATGAGTACAATGATTGGGGCATTGTAAATTTTACAATCTCTCACATTAGGGTGTGACTCACTAAGTAATTAATTAATTGTGGGCCCAATCCTAATGTGAAAGAGTGTAAAATTTTCAATGTTCTAATCATATATATATATATATACAGAAATGATCTAATGAGCACCGGTGCTCATCTTATCCGAAGCACCGATGAGTTGGCACATTAATTCATTGGTGGATAAAGATTTTGTGAGTTCCAATCCACCAATGAATTAATGTGCCAACTCATTGGTG